TGGTCTTGCTATGAATTCCTTTATACTCTCCTGATTTTATATGTATAGGGGATTGGTGAACTGATCCTTAGATGGTGACAAAGACCCATATAACATAAGGGGTTTAGGATTTGAACCTACTTGTGACTGGTGCTATTGACTGAAGTCTAAAATGTTGGGATATAAGGGCAATAAGACAGCCTGTCTTTGAACTACATGGTAATAACTATTCTATAGAAGAATCAAAGTTCCACCCTTTCAACCAAATGTTTTGCCATTGTGCTCCTATGATTTCATGGTGAGATTTGGGGATTTATCCAAACCATCATCACTCCTTGAAACTGTAGAGAATCATATAGAGTTCACATGTGGTCTTGACTTCAGTATTTTCATGAACACCCCACAGATTTTTCAAAGAAATACTCTGCACATTTTTTTTTGTGTGAGTGCACTACCTTACTGCTTCATTTGTTTTTTTTTTACATTCTTCATACATGCTACACTTAGACAGTGGTGCTTTCTCTATCTCCTCCCTTTCTTTTGTTGTTTCAAAGCCAGTCCTCCAAGTACTCTCCTGAAAAGAGACCCCCAGTTGGGAAGAGGATAAGATCAGTGAAGGCCACAGATCCCCCACCTATCTTCAGGGCAGGCCCAATAAGGACTGCACTCTCTGTTGCTATGAAGTGAAAAAACATATCGCATATGCAGTCCAAGTGCTCGTGCATAAACAGAAAAAAATAGTTAAAAAGTGCCAAATGGAGTACACATAGCAGGACTTATGGCCAGTATAGCAATTGCTCCATGGTAGCCAGACCTTCCAAAATGCAGAGTGGAAGAAAATCAGTAGTGCCATGACCTACTGCCAGTGGGGTGTCAAGCTCAAAGTGTTTTTCTGGCACCCCTGTTTGCCACCGCAGAGGTACATCAATGGGAACTCCTAGACAAGTGTAGACCCGTCCCTACCAGAAGGCATTAGAACTTAGGGAGACTCCTGCCTACCACAAGGGACTACCCTGGAAAACCAGGCCAGACTCAACTTGGGAGGAAAGGATCCCTACCCAAGTACCCACCTACTACATAAGTGCAAGGGACAACAGTGTTCTTTTCCCAAAACATGAGGCACCCCTGGTCACCTCCCCAGGGGCACATCACTAAAAGCTCCTAGACAAGTACAGCCCCATCCCTACCAGAAGGCATTAACACTTAGGGAGACTCCTGCCTACAACCAGGGGCAACCCTGGAAAACCAGACCAGACTCAACTCGGGAGGAAATGATCCCTACCCAAGCACCCACCTACTACATAAGTGCAAGATACAACAGTGTTCAGTTTCCAAAACCTGAAAAGAACAGACCACATATGATCTTAGCCTAAGGGATGGGAGACAAAAATAGATTTTTAGAGCACTCATCCTAAAGCACTCACCCAAATCTGAATGGCACATGAACTGGTTTCAGGATGGCAGCTAGATCACACTGTTGGGGTACCCCAGGGAGATACCAATAAATGTTCCTGTATTAAAATAGATTAGAACTCAGTGGATTGAATCAGGGGAGCCAATCATCTGTCTGGCCAGCAAAGTGTTTTCTTCATTAATCACTCTTCTCCATAGGAGACTGACATAAATATTGAAAGAACGGTATCTTAATTTCCACAGTGGGCCACCAGCTACAGTTTTCAACACATATACATACAAACTTGCAAAGCAGACCAATTAAAAGGAAGGGTGGGATGGAAAACTCCAGGGAATTTGCTTAAGGGAAACAGGAAGGAAAAGGCTGATAACATTAATGTATGAACATACACTCCTTCTTTAGCGTGATACCAAATAGGGCTACAAAGCAAATTGTTACCATGTAATGATATTGTAGGATTACATAAAGATAAAAAATGTCACTTAGATCAATCTGCACAAAAGCATATTTTTAGATCCCAGTGGTAGAACTGTTTGCCGTAATACAAGATGTTATACTTTATGCAGCAGGTAGAGCTGATCTCCTAAAACACCCAGAATAACTTGATGCAAGTGCCAGCCTTGCTTTAAAGTGACACTAAATGATATATTTATTCTTCAAAAATAAAATATACAGATCCACTACTTAATGGAAATGTGTAACTGTCCTTCATGGCTTCCAAATCTCTCCTTTGTCCCATTGTTTGAACAAGCAGTTCATGTTAGTTGGGGCCATGTGCACTGCATTATGCATGCTACAAATCCCATAGGCCATAGTCCTTAGTCCATCTCAGCAGCATGCAGTAGGACCATGGAGAACAAACATACACTATATTGCCAAAAGTATTGGAACACCCCTCCAAATCATTGGATTCAGGTGTTTTAATCACTGCCATGGCCACAGGTGTATAAAATCAAGCACCTAGGCATGCAGACTGCTTCTACAAACATTTGTGAAAGAATGGGTCACTCTCAGGAGCTCAGTGGATTCAAGCGTGGTACGGTAATAGGTTGCCACCTGTGCCACCATAAATCCATCTGTGAAATTTCCTTGCTACTAAATATTCCATGGTCAAATGCTAGTGGCATTATAACAAAGTGGAAGGAACTGGTAACAACAGCAACTCAGCCACAAAGTGGTAGGCCACATAGAATGACAGAAGTCACAAACTGTCTGCAGAGTCAACAGCTAAAGATCTCCAAACTTCGTGTGGCCTTCAGATTAGCACAACAACAGTGCATAGGGAGCTTCATGGAATGGGGTTCCATGGTAGAGCAGCTGCATGCAAGCTTTACATTAGCAAGTTCAATGCAAAGCATCAGATGCAGTGGTGTAAAGCACGCCGCCACTGGACTCTAGAGCAGTGGAAATGTGTTCTCTTGAGTGACAAATTACACTTCTTTGTCTGGCAATCCAATGGATGTGTCTGAGTTTGGCAATTACCAGGAAAACGGTACTTGCCTGATTGCATTGTGCCATGTGTAAAGTTTGGTGGAGGGAGGATTATGGTGTAGGGTTGTTCTTCAAGGGGTGGGCTTGGCCCATTAGTTCCAGTGAAGGAAACTCTTAAGAAGTCAGCATACCAAGACATTTCATTCTTCCAACTTTATGGGGATGGCTCCTTCCTATTCCAACATGACTGTGCACCAGTGCACAAAGCAAGATCCATAAAGACATGGATGAGCAAGTTTGGGTGGAGGAACTTGACTGACCTGCACAGAGTCCTGACATCAACAGGTCACAGCAGGAAAGAAAGGTATTTGAAAATTTGGATGAGACTGATAGCAATAGTAGGTACCATTCTGAGTTAAGAACACATACATTTCTTTTTTTTTAACCCAGAGTTTAGTGTCACTTTAACAGCATTGCTCAGTGTCAGTGAGGCATGTTAGGGCTGTGTTCATTGTTTACAGCTATTACATACAGGGAAGGGGGTCTAAAGTTTTTTTTTATTTCTTTCACATTTGTAGTATTGTAAGATGGGTTTTTCTTTTCATGCAATGGGTATTTGATGTTCCTAAACGTTATTTGTGTTATATTAAGAGGTAAAAAGTGGCAAAAAGTGCTTGCTGAAGTTTTTCTTTATATACAACTATCAGCCATAACAATATGACCAATAACTGGTAAAGTGGACGGCACTGATTATATTGTTACAGTGGCACCTGAAGGTGGTAGGGATATAATAGGCAGCAAGTGAACATGTTGTCCCTGGAGTTGATGTGTTGAAAGAAAAAATGGGCAAACATAAAGATTTGAGCGAATTTGACTAGGGCCAAATTGTAATGGTTGGATGACTGGGTCAGAACATCTCCAAAATTGCAGCTCTTTTAGCATGTTTCCAGTCTGCAATTGCCAGGACCTACCAAAAGTGGTTCAAGTAAGAAAAAACCGGTGAACTGCTGACAGCGCCATGGGCAGCCAAGGCCCATTGATGTGTGTGGGGAGCAAAGGCTGGCTCATGTAGTCTGATGCAAAAGAAAAGCTCAAGTTGCTGAAAAGGTTAATACTGGTTATGATAGAAAGGTGTGAGAACACACAGTGCATTGCAGTTTGTTGCGTATGGGGCTACTTAGCCACAGACCAGACAGGGTGCCCATGCTGACCTGTGTCCAAATCCAAAAGAGCCTACAAGGGGCACACGATCTTCAGAACTTGACCATAGAGCAATGGAAGCAGGTGGCCTGGTCTAAAGAATTGAAGAATGGTTTGAGGAATGGAACAATGAGTTTAAGATGTTGACCTGGCCTGTAGGATATCCTGCAAAAACAAGTCCGATCCATGGCAGCCCCACCTCACAAGCTTCAGGATCTATTGACAGCTTGGTACCAGATACCACAGCATATCTTCAGAAGTCTAGTGGAGTCCATGCTTTGATGGGTTTATGGCGGGTAATTATAATGTTATAGCTGATCGGTGTACAAGGTAGCTATAGATAGTAAGTGCAGATGGATACACCAGCCCAATTATCTGACAACCCTCAGTTATCTGCTTTTTTTTTACCAAGCCCCTAAACGTGGATGTTAACTTGGGACATCTATATTGGTGGCTTATCAGGATGAAAGAATTAGATGTCAGGTAAAGTTTTCAAGCTTCCCCAATTGTCCAATGTTTTTTCATCTGGATGGCAGCTGTTTTTTTAAAGCCAGATCAGAAGATTGTTGTATAATGTCTGAGCACATTTACTCTTTAACCACTGAAAAACGGGCCAGTGTACAAGAGCTTGTATTAGGTGATAAGGATTTAGTACAGTGATATCAGAGAAGTAAAAAATAAAAATTAAAAATGATCGTATTTTTCATCATAGAATTGAAAAGATTGCTTTGAGAATATATTACTAGAACAGTTATTTCCTATACAGTTCCTTCCCAGGTTAATCATTTAAATTTAACAAATCTGGGGACATCTACCAGCCTGTATACTGAATGGACTAGAGGTCGAGGAGACGTGGACTCTTTTCAGGTCCTACTGATACATGAAAATATTGTCATAAAGAATGAGAGTGTATCCAGTGACACCAGTAAATATCAGTTCCATTCCTTGAAGCCAGGAGGCTTATACTCCGTGGTGGTGACAACTGTGAGTGGAGGAATGTCATCAAGACAGGCCTTAGCAGAGGGCAGAACAGGTAAGACAATGGCATAACATTTTGCTGCATGTAAAAGTTCATTGATCATCTGTCATATGGCAAGCTGTAAAAAACAACTAATATCAGCTATTCTTATGCTGCAAAAAAGTATTTACTTCTTTTTTTTTGGAATAGCATAGTTTTGAAAATGATCCATTTTAAGTTAGATAATTCTGTATCTAGATACCGTATCTGTATAGTCTGTGGTTTTGAAATATTACAGAATTATACTGTGGAAACTGTGCAAATACACACTGCTGCCTGAAAAATATACATGGTAAGCAAGTGTGGATTGAAAAAAGAACAAACAATTTCTGCAAGGATCTTTAGGGAGGAGAGAGGATACAGATCAAGTGAAAAAGCTATGCACAGGAAATTAGACCTAAGTCAAGAATGGATGTTTAATTACACAAGATCAGCAGGTTTGTGGGGTTCATAGTTATGTGAACCTAATCAAGCAGTTTCCTTCCCATAAGTGATTATGTCCTGTACTTAAGGAACATAACTAAATATTTTAAAACAATGGACAGGACAAGTAGCGGCAAAACACTTTGGCAACAAGTGATAACATGCATTCTCACTCACAATCATGGTTGTAGGAAGTTTCTTCAATGACCAGAAGAGGGCAAAGGAGATTTTTTAAACACAAACTGTATTAGAGATCAACGAATTTATTCTTACATTTGATTATAGGATTTAAAAGAATCCTACCCTGGGAATATCAGAAAAAAATCAGTTCAGTTTTGAAAGTGTAAGTTGCCTGGCTGCCATGCTGATCCTCTTGCTTTAAGCCACTGAATTAGAACAAATATACATGTGAAGACTTCTGATTTATTTCTGATATCAATATGATCTGCATTCCTGGCCAGTGATTTACAGCATACTAAAGATAGAAGGCCAGCATAGTAGCCAGGCAGCTAGCAGTTGATGTGGAATAAATTGATGTACAATAAAATATTTTTTACTAAATGATGTGCTTACAATGCTCATAAAGCAAGTATAAAGAGTATGTTGGCTAAAATCATGAAATATAAAGAACATTTACATATATGTTCTAGAAATTAACTTTACCAAAGCTATGTATTACAAAGGCGCACCTAAACTATTCAGTCAGTTTATATCCAATCAAGCAAGCCCGTGAACTACATAGGAGATTGTAGAGTCAGATTGTAATTTGTGTGATCCCTATGGATTACAGGAGAGTACAGGAACATGGGGTAGACACTTTAGTGAATAATACAATGGATGCTGTAGTAAGTGGGATCTTACAGTTCCAGAAGTGGAGAGTGAGACAGCACAGATTACTACATATTACAGAAGGGTGCAACAGCATGCGGGTGACCCTTTACTATATATTGCAAGGGTTGCTGTAGTGCCACTTCCAACATGTAATAACTGACAGAGGAAAGAACAGCAGATTCGTAATAAAGTAACTGATCAGCAACAGCAAATTCAATAACAGCAAATGTGCATATTATTAGGAGCGTAACTATGAATCAAGGGGCCCCATAATAAAAACTTGATGGGACACCCGAACTAACTCTTTCTTTGGAATCTGGCAGTGTCGACTGTGACAATTTGTATCATTGATCTGAACATAAAGTATGTCTTTATCTGGGACAGTCAGCAGAAGAAGAGCTGTCAGCATAGTCAAAATACTAGGGAGCAGAGATTATAGAAAAAATATAGTTGTAGTAGCAATAATAATACAGTATAAACCAAAATTATATTTTATATTATGACAAAATGATTAATGCATTTGCACACCATTACTCTATGACACTAATGCATAGTACACATGATGAGAAAATTGGACAAAGTGATCATCCGATAATATGATCGTTAGTAAAAAGCTTCCGAGAGACAATTATGACAGTTCATGGGAAATTATCTGAAGGGACAAGCACGAGAATTTTTCTCATTTGATAATAGAACAAATGATTTTTGTTTAATCAGCACAGTATTTGTTTGAAAAAAATCGAGTGACCAAGATCACGCATGTTTAGAAACAAAGGTCTGAGGGTCTGAGGTCTGTGGTCAGCCCTTCTATACATATGCACTTCACAGTTTAGCTATCCTTAGCAGCCTTCCTAGTACCCCCCCCCCCCCCCAATAATCCAGGCCCCATAGCATCTGCATGAGATTCAATTGCTTTGGCATGATATCTTTGGCTTGATATCTTTCCAGTATCTTCTATATGAAGGACACTATATGTAACAAGATATGAAATGTATACATGCATTTAATAAAATGGCTAAAACTATCCAAATTTCTCTCACTGAATTTTAGTTCCATCCAGTGTAAGTGGCATTACTGTTAATAACTTTGGTCTGACTGCCTACCTCCGCATATCCTGGCTCCCAGCTATTGGCTACGTCGATGCCTATGTGGTAACATTATCTCACCATGGTATCATTCTTCCACCACTTACACTCTCTAAAACTGTCACCGAATGCTCCTTCAGCTCCCTCTCTCCTGGACGCCTGTACAATGTGACTGTGACCACCCGAAGCGGAAAGTTTGAGAATTATTCTTTCAGTCAAGAGTGGACAGGTAAGAGAAAAGACTTGGATTAAAGCCTGATGGTTCATAAAAAGACACTGAGTGTTATATCATTAAAATAGACAAACAACTAGGCACTAAATCCCTTAACCAAGTCAGGGTAAGACAAGGATAAGATAAGGCCAGTCCCACAGCTGCTCCAATAACCATTAGGGGTATGGAGTAGTATGAAAATAGCATAGAAAATAAGAGCGCTCATGGTGAGAGCCAGCAATAAATGCAATGGCGTTCATGACCAGCAGTCAATGTCTATAAAAAGTTTAATGAAGCAATAAAACCATAATCGCCATATAAATTGTATCCATGAAGAAATATGATGTAAGACAAGGATTGGTGCAAAACTTAGGCTGAAAGGAATGGTGGGAGCGGCTTACTGTTGTGTAGACATGGCTACAGGGAGCCTGGATGGTGGACTCAGTAGATGGAAGAGTAATGAACCACAGTTGGTGGTAAATAGGGTGTCCAGAGGCCAGAGGTCTGATGAAATGCCACTAGAGAGATGAGAGGAACCAGGAAGGACCTCCTCAGTGTACTGAAGATTGCGCACCGGACGTGATGTCACGGCACACCAGAAATGACCTCAGTGGAACACAAAGAAGCCGACAGCAACCATCAAAAGCCCTCAGAAGGAAGGAGACCAATTGCAATGAGTCCCGGGTACCATGATTGCTTCACTAAACTTTTTATAGACATTTACTGCTGATCATGAACGTCATTGCATTTATTCCTGGCTCTCACTACAAGTTTTCTTATTTTCTATGCTCAGTATTATATCATTACATCTTTAATTATTCAACATGATTGGATAAAGGGGGGACACCTGAAATGAAGAGTTATTTATTTATTTATTTTTATTTATAGCATCAGCAATTTGATCAGTGTATACAGTACATTCACATCCCTGTCCTCAAGGAGCTTACAATCTAAGGTTCCTACCTCACATTCATACATTCATATACTAGGACCAATTTAAACACAAGCCAATTAACCTTCCAGCATGCTTTCTGAATGTGAGAAGAAACCAAAGAACCTGAAGGAAATCTAAGCAAGCACAGAGAGAACATGTAAATTCCATGCAGATAATATAATGAATTTGGTGCTACTGGCTCTTTGGGGAAATATGCATGTTTATTCATAAATATTTTAGACAAGTGTTCTATGTTACTGGAGAAAGGCAATTGTAATACAAAACCATTACGTGCAGTAAACTCCTTTCATGTTTTCACAGATGCTTCAAATGTGTTTCCATTTCTGTAAACCCTGTATCGAATGTAATTATGAAAATTACAATACTGTAGCTTTGCTCTACAAGAAATGTAAACAGCATTAGCAACATTTTCCAAGTATTGCTACTGCCTACCAAGTTTGGATCCACCTTTCCACATTAATATTTTATTTAAACACTGTCACAAATTGTATGGAGACTAAATTACTGAGCTCAAACTCTGTGCCCACATCACTAAACTATACTGCCCAAAAAAAGAAAATTGGACATTCACAGTACTATATATTTCAGTCATGTACCCATACAAAAATAATACATTTTTAATAAAATGGTTTTATGTCAAAAAAAGAAAACAAAAACAGGATATACACTGCGTACACATATGCTAAAAATAGACATATATGTCCAGGCCTATACCCAAAATTCTTCTTAGGGGATATTTTCTAAAACTGGAGTATTCAGAATCTGCTGCAGATTTGCATGGTAGCCAACCAGCTTCTACCTTCAGCTTGTTTAAATACATTTTGACAATAAAACCTTGAAGCTGATTGGTTTCTATGTACAGCTGCTCAGATTTTGCATGCTCCAGTTTTAGTAAATCTCCCCCCTATTGTCTAAACACATTGGGGTTGATCTACTTAATTAAACTTTACTAGACCAAGTGCAGTTGCTCCAGAGCTTAGTAAATGAGGAGAAGCTTCACTTTGCAAAGAATACCCAATCACATGCAAGGAAAAAAAAATTTTTGCTTCACATGTTTGGATGATGAAAGTCAGTAGACTTTATGCACTTTGCATCTGCCTGGTAATTGTAAAATGTTAAAGTAATATCTTTTGACTTAACTGTGTTACTACCAGGGGCGGACTCATGGGGCCCCCCGACAATAGGGGATCATGGGGCCCCTGTGTCCTTGCCCAAACTTGAAAAAGCCAATGAAAAAGGTACCAGGGGCATCTCATGGGGCCCCATACTGACCCCGGGCCAACAGGCAGTGCCCGAGTTTGCAAATGGTCAGTCCGCCCCTGGTTACTACATAATGAGCTAGGTTGGAAAATGACACATGTCCATCAAATACAACTATACATCTTGCTTTACATTTTTTCCAGTTCCTTCTGCTGTGCAAGGACTAACAGTGAGCAATGCTGCCAGGAGTGACTACCTCAAAGCATCTTGGCTACGAGCCACTGGAGATTTTGATCAATACCAAGTGACCATTAAAAACAACAATGGCTTTATTAATATCAAGAATGTCTCCAAATCAGAGAATGAATGTGAATTCTCCAATCTGGTGCCGGGCCGACTGTACAGCATAACTGTTAGCACTAAGAGTGGAAAGTATGAGGCCAGTGCTGGGGCAAATGGCAGGACCTGTAAGTATAATGCCATTTTTCAAAACATCAATACAAATGTGTAATTGTTGTGTGACTCCATTAAACATTTTAATGTATTAAATAGACTTTTTGCTTAGTTCCAGAAGCTGTAAAAAAGCTCACACTTTGCCAGCAGAAGCAGTGAGGAGCTCCATGTGACATGGTCAAGTGCTGATGGAGATGTTGATAGCTATGAAGTTCAGCTCCTATACAATGACATGAAGGTCCTTCCATCCATTACACTGAGTAACACAGCTGCTGAATATCGTTTCACTTCTCTCATTCCTGGTCGTCTCTACAAAATCGTTGTGCTCACCTTCAGTGGTGATGCACAGAGATCAACATTCGTGGAAGGATTAACAGGTAGAAACTGTCTACAGATCAATGTGTCTTATTACCAACCATGTATCATATAATGTATAGTTTAAAATGACGGACAGTCACTGAAAAAAGATTTACAACATAATAAGTCTCTAATAAAAAAGCTATAATAAATTATATAAGTGAGGTCTCCAGAACTGGACGCAGTATTCTAAATGAGGTCTAACTAAAGATCGATATAGGAGAATCAGGACCTCATTTCCCCTGCTGGTGACCCCTCTAGTGATGCATCCTAGAATTCTATTTCGCTTTTGTGAAATCTGAGTTGTAAATATCTAAATGTGTTTCTTTGTTTTATCCTAGTTCCCAGTGCCGTAAAGAGCATTCACATTTCCCCACATGGAGCAACAAACAGCCTGAAAGTTAACTGGACTCCTGGAGGTGGAGATGTTGATTCTTATACTGTGACCATCTTCTGCCATAACTACCAGATAGAGTCTCACACTATATCCAAGCACATCTACGAACACACCTTCAACAATCTTGACCCAGGAGAGCAATACAGGATTGTTGTACAGACCAACAGTGGAGGTTTACACAAAAACCTGACAGCATTTGGAAGAACAAGTAAGACAGAGCATTTAGATTTATAAGACGTCTGTGCTGATAATAGGCACTTAAAGTGTTACTAAACCCAGGACCCTGCATTTGCTATATCTGGTCTCCCACAGTACCCAGAACAGGGAATGCAATTATTCTGTAAATATAAACTGCTAAATACCTTTTCTAATCAGCAGTTAGAGCAGTCTGGTGACTTCTATCAGTGTCCAGCAGAGCACCGGTTAAAGCTTGTAGGAGGAGTTTTTATTCTCTGACTGCCCTATGAAGCTGCATAACCCCTGACCCTCTGTCTGGACAGCACTGATTGGCCCTGTGCTGACCACATGCACTCTTCCAAGATAAAAAAAACTCTCTAGCAATACACACACCAAACTGAGCATGTACAGCATGCCCCCAAGGCTCTGTTCTATCAGCAGATGGATTGGGGACAATAGAAGAAGGGGAAGATCAGAGAAGACAGGATCAAACAGCCTTTTTACACAATGCAGAGGATTAACCCCTTAGGTTCCACAGTGAGTATAACAAGCATGCTTTACTGCATACACAGACTGATTTTACTGTTGTGGGTTTAGTAACACTTTAACATAGCAAAACAAGTCACAATTTACAGCAATATAGTCAAAATGCATGAAGAAACACATGTTTAAAATGTATTATGCTCAAAAACAAGACACAATGGTAAAAACAAAGACAAGATATTATTATTAAAATCAATTACATTTTAGTAGGATATAGCCAATTAATTGCTTTTTTTATTAATAATCTTCCCAACTGAGTACTAAGTTCACGATCAACCCCATAGAGCTATATTACAGAAATGATTGACAGCTTAGGAAATATTGGGATTCCTTCAGTGTCTTCTATATTTGCATCTCTTAACCATCTGGAGGTAACTAATTCCCACTGCCTAAATTATATACGAATAGCCGAATAGAAATTTTGCTTACAGTATGTCATTTATTTAAATAGCAAATTCCTATTAGTGGAGGTGAACTGGAAAAGGATCCAAAGGATCATTTTATCAGGTCGATTCAGGAGGCTCAGGGGCTTACTTTGCATAGCAGATTATGTGTTTGATCCAGATCAAATATCAGTTTTATACGGTTTTCCGGCAAATTCATTTCCTGAATCAAAATTTTCAATTTGATCTGAATCAAATCACGGTCAATCTCAGTTTTGGGAACCTGCAAGTTTGTCTTATTTGGATCAAATCTTGGTCAAATCTCAGTTTTGGTGGAACCTGCAAGTGTGTTGTGTTTGATCACGGTCAGATCTCAATTTTGGTGGTACCTGCAAGTGTGTTTGATCACGGTCAAATCTCAATTTTGGTGGTATCTGCAAGTGTGTTTGATCACGGACAAATCTCAGTTTTGGTGGAACCTGCAAGTGTGTTTGATCACGGTCAGATCTCAATTTTGGTGGAACCTACAAGTGTGTTTGATCACTGTCAGATCTCAGTTTTGGTGGTACCTGCAAGTGTGTTTGATCACGGTCAAATCTCAATTTTGGTGGAACCTGCAAGTGTGTTTGATCACGGTCAAATCTCAGTTTTAGTGGAACCTACAAGTGTGTTTGATCACGGTCAAATCTCAGTTTTAGTGGAACCTGCAAGTGTGTTTGATCACGGTCAAATCTCAGTTTTGGTGGAACCTACAAGTGTGTTTGATCACGGTCAAATCTCAGTTTTGGTGGAACCTGCAAGTGTGTTTGATCACGGTCAAATCTCAGTTTTGGTGGAACCTGCAAGTGTGTTTGATCACGGTCAAATCTCAGTTTAGTGGAACCTGCAAGTGTGTTTGATCACGGTCAAATCTCAGTTTTGGTGGAACCTGCAAGTGTGTTTGATCACGGTCAAATCTCAGTTTTGGTGGTACCTGCAAGTGTACCTGCAAGTGTGTTTGATCACGGTCAATCTCAATTTTGGTGGTACCTGCAAGTGTGTTTGATCACGGTCAAATCTCAATTTTGGTGGTACCTGCAAGTGTGTTTGATCACGGTCAAATCTCAGTTTTGGTGGAACCTACAAGTGTGTTTGATCACGGTCAATCTCAGTTTTGGTGGAACCTGCAAGTGTGTTTGATCACGGTCAAATCTCAGTTTTGGTGGAACCTGCAAGTGTGTTTGATCACGGTCAAATCTCAGTTTTGGTGGAACCTGCAAGTGTGTTTGATCACGGTCAAATCTCAGTTTTGGTGGAACCTGCAAGTGTGTTTGATCACGGTCAAATCTCAGTTTTGGTGGAACCTGCAAGTGTGTTGTGTTTGATCACAGTCAGATCTCAATTTTGGTGGTACCTGCAAGTGTGTTTGATCACGGTCAAATCTCAGTTTTGGTGGAACCTGCAAGTGTGTTTGATCACGGTCAAATCTCAGTTTTGGTGGAACCTGCAAGTGTGTTTGATCACGGTCAAATCTCAGTTTTAGTGGAACCTGCAAGTGTGTTTGATCACGGTCAAATCTCAGTTTTGGTGGAACCTGCAAGTGTGTTGTGTTTGATCACGGTCAGATCTCAATTTTGGTGGTACCTGCAAGCGTGTTTGATCACGGTCAAATCTCAGTTTTGGTGGAACCTGCAAGTGTGTTTGATCACGGTCAAATCTCAGTTTTAGTGGAACCTGCAAGTGTGTTTGATCACGGTCAAATCTCAGTTTTGGTGGAACCTGCAAGTGTGTTTGATCACGGTCAAATCTCAGTTTTGGTGGAACCTGCAAGTGTGTTTGATCACGGTCAAATCTCAGTTTTGGTGGAACCTGCAAGTGTGTTTGATCACGGTCAAATCTCAATCTCAGTTTTTTGGTGGTACCTGCAAGTGTGTTTGATCACGGTCAAATCTCAGTTTTGGTGGAACCTGCAAGTGTGTTTGATCACGGTCAAATCTCAGTTTTGGTGGAACCTGCAAGTGTGTTTGATCACGGTCAAATCTCAGTTTTGGTGGAACCTGCAAGTGTGTTTGATCACGGTCAAATCTCAGTTTTGGTGGAACCTGCAAGTGTGTTTGATCACGGTCAAATCTCAGTTTTGGTGGAACCTGCAAGTGTGTTTGATCACGGTCAAATCTCAGTTTTGGTGGAACCTGCAAGTGTGTTTGATCACGGTCAAATCTCAGTTTTGGTGGAACCTGCAAGTGTGTTTGATCACGGTCAAATCTCAGTTTTGGTGGAACCTGCAAGTGTGTTTGATCACGGTCAAATCTCAGTTTTGGTGGAACCTACAAGTGTGTTTGATCACGGTCAAATCTCAGTTTTGGTGGAACCTACAAGTGTGTTTGATCACGGTCAAATCTCAGTTTTGGTGGAACCTGCAAGTGTGTTTTGTGTTTGATCACGGTCAAATCTCAGTTTTGGTGGAACCTGCAAGTGTGTTTGATCACGGTCAAATCTCAGTTTTGGTGGAACCTGCAAGTGTGTTTGATCACGGTCAAATCTCAGTTTTGGTGGAACCTGCAAGTGTGGTTTGATCACGGTCAAATCTCAATTTGGGTGGAACCTGCAAGTGTGTTTGATCACTGTCAAATCTCAGTTTTGTTGGTACCTAAAGATGTGTTTGATCTGGATCAAATCTAAGTTTGGGTGAACCAATCTGATCATCTCTAGATGCCAAGAGGAGTTGTTCTCCAGCCTAATATACCGTATAACAATATATGTTTATTTATATACAGTATCTACAGGCATTAACATGTAGAAATTCAAGAGTTGTTCCGCCTGTAAACATTAGGCAAGTTTTTCTTGTACCTTCTTTTATTTATTGAATTCTTTTAAATTTAAGCTACTGCATCTCTTAACCATCTTGTTACAACCATATATGCACTCTGTATTGTCTTATTTGCATTGTAATTTACAGCTAGATGCATTCCCCTATGCTATTCTAATCTTGTATTAAAATGTACCTACCGTTCAATTCAGTGTGACATGCCGGTGTTTCTTTATTTTCCAGTACCAGCCACAGTTCACAGACTGGCAGTTGACAGTGTGTACAATAGTCATTTGCTGATGGTCAGCTGGCAGAGCGCACCAGGCATTGCAGACAGATACGATCTCCTTCTTCTAACTGATAAAGGAGTTTTAGTAAATAACAAATCTGTGCCAGCTAATACCAAATCCTATAAGTTTGAAGAGCTTGTTCCAGGAAAAATGTACAAAATCCGAGTGTTCACAGTCAGCGGCGGTCTATTCAGCACAGCAGAAGAAACAGCAGGAAGAACAGGTAAACAGATGCTTGGCAATGGCCATAGGCTTCACCTTCAAAATTGAACAATTTAGAGGAACACAATGCAGACTCACTGAGGGTGTGCAAGTCTAATAAATCATCACATCATTTGTATATATAATTAGGAATGCCAGAGGCTGTCTAAACTGTTTGTTTTTAAACACAATGTAAATATGCATTAGTCAAAAGCATTTAATCACCCACCAAGTTGAAACAAATACTACTTCTCTGTTGATTTTCTAACTAACCTTCTATTAGGCTTATTTAATCTTGACTTTCAGCCAGATATAAAAATACACAATTACATGCAGATATGTGCTCATTAAAAAAAACAAAATAATTCAATGTATTTTAAATACAGCTCTTGTAAGTACCAGAACCTAAAACTGGCTTGACTGGACCCTTCTGTAATTATCTATGGAATAGAATTCAAGGATTTGAGCTCTGAGCCAAGCAGATATGCTGAATGTACATGTGCTAGCAAAGAAAGTGCTTTCAACAAGAGAGAGGAGAATAATGACCACATCGGTTAAATGCTGCTCTCCTTTCTGCAATTACAGGTCCAATCGCAGTTTGAGGGCAGTGAGGTGAACTAGGTTTACAGAAAGTTGGGTTACCGTCCTGGCTGTATACTGTAGTAGGGCTGCATTACATCTTAGGATTGGATAGATAAATACAAATCATTTGGCAGGGAAATAGCTCCTATTTCTGTATTTTGTTTGTTTAGTTAGCTTGCTGCCTGGATTGTAAAATGCATTATTTGGTGACAATGGAATTCACCTTTCCTGGTTCCACTCAAGTTAAAGGATATGTTCACCTTTTATAACATGTTACGTTACTGCATGTTCCACTTGTATTCATGTAACATGTTACTGCTGCAGCTGCCCCTGTGCACTTCCCCGCTGCGACAGCAAGCCGCCCACCTGGCCACGTCATGTGTTCACAGAGTTCTGTGAATGGGAAACTGCAACTACATTCAGCCTTCGCAGCTGAAAACTTGTGGTTCTCAATGAACTACCCAAGTGCTGTTGAGTGCTCAAGGTAGTCCATTGATGCTTCCTGTCAGTTTTTAAGCCCTGGTTCACATATATGCATTCCCGCAGGCCACGTTTTGCGTGGGCACGAGAGCCCATTCATTTGAAAGGGTTCCTGTGCCCTGGGACACTCAGGTCCCTGCACTTCTTTGGAAACCGCAGCACGCACGGGAACCTTGGTTCCCAGTGTGGTTGCGATTTCCAGGGCGGGCGGAGTGCCATTAGAATTAATGGCACCTGCCCGTGGGTCCGTATTCTTCTGTGTGGGTGGTGTGGCTGCACGGATTTTTGTGCGTATCTGCAGCGGCACCACCCGCACATATGTGAACCTAGCCTGTCTGCTCGTACGAGGTACAAGTAGACAGCTCACACTGACAGTCTGCAAGAACCCTACTTTGCCCCCGTGATCTGCTCATCATGGATGCAATGCTTTACTGGCTCCCAATAAAGAAAATAATAAATGAACATTTTTTTACCTGCAAAAAGATGTGCATTATTTTTTTTTTAAAGTGAACGTATCCTTTCATTGAAATTCAGTTGCTATAAATAAAAGAACTGTGCACATAAACATTATTATTTCCATTAAAAGTCATTACGCCTTCTGCACCAGTTTAAGAAACTTTCATGGATCTTTATATGATATTTATGGGATAAGATCCTCATAGACAGGGTAGTGGATTTTCTAGCTGGTATAAATGCAGCTTTTTGCTACTTCAGGTTTGCTGGCCTTCATTCCACTTTTGTTCCTTTTCTTAATGTATTTTTCAGTCCCGGCTGCAGTGACCAATCTAAAGATCACAGGGAACAACACAGACAGTTTGTCATTCACGTGGACAAGCTCAGAGGGAGAACTGGACTCTTATGATATTTTCCTGTACAACCCAGACAATACACTGCATGACAGGAAGTCTGGAAGCCAAGTTCTACAACATTGCTCATTTCAGGGACTGCTGCCAGGTCGTCTTTACAAAATGGTCATAGTTACTCATAGTGGATCTCTGACTAATGAGTCTTCAATCCACGGGAGGACAGGTAATCATTTAATCATGATTATATATGTAACAGGACAAATATTAGCTTTACTTTTTTTAGTTTCATAGCACATTATAATTACTAGGAGTAAAACACCAAAATTAAATATTAGGGAGAACCAGATATATCCATTTTCATATTTTATGCTGGGTTTTTTTGCCATTGAACTTTAGATGCAAAGATCATGTTTTGTTGTGATCATCTTTGCCCCCCCCCACTAAAACCTATTACTACCAGTTGTCCTTACCTTCACACTAAACTCTATTGCTCCCCCCAAATTCAACACCTAACTTGCCCCTTAAAATTCAACTTATTGTCTAAATTAGCCCATTAAAATAACCCCTTATCCAGGCAAAACCCTTTTTTTAATAGACCTGGCAAGCATAACTACTATAGCTATTGAGGTCCATGACCCCTTTGGAGGAGATTTCATCTTGCTTCCTATCCCTGTGACTGCAGTTCAAGAAAAAAGTAATAGGAAGTCACATAAAGTAATACAACCCTGATAGAGCTTTTATCCCCCTTATTTCCATATTACAAGAAAGGGTTTTGTTAAAATCTGTGCCTCGGTAGTAATTTCCTGTCACTTACTGTCCTGGCAGAAAGTGAGCGGAAAACACACCAGTTTGAACCATGGTTGGACAAGGCTAAATAACATTTTGAATGGAGTTTTGCTATAATATTCCTTACTCCATAACCCTATGCTTTCCCCTGACCTTAACCTACATTTAACTCCTTAAGGGTTCTTTCATATGGCGTTCCATATGTCCGTTTTTCATCTGTCCGTTTACGGATGAAAAGCAGACCCCCATGTATTTCTATGGACTTGCGGATGTAAATGGATGAACATCTTTTTACATCCATTAATGTCCGCATCCGATAACATCTGTTTTTTTTGAATGGAAGAAAACCCTATTTTTCTTCCTCCAAAAAAATGGAACGGAAGCAAAACGGATGTCAACGGATGTAAACGGACAAAAAACGGATGAAAACGGACATAAACGGCTGAAAAAACAGATGTAAACATATCGAAACGAATGAAAAAAACGGATGTTAACCAATGTAAACAGATGAAATAATGGATGTAAACAGATGAAAAAAACGTATGTAAACTTATCCGTTTTTTTCTTTGAAAAAAGGTGACTGAGCTGAAAAAAAAAAAAAATGGAGCGCCCATATTAAAGAACCCTAATCCTGGCAATAGAAGGCTGTTTTACTAAAGGAACTGAGAATCTCCACCTAATTATTTGTGTGAATGTTTTAGTTAATTTATCTATCCATATAAGACAGAATATTTCTGTTTATGTATTTCATCTGTACATAATTGGTTGTCCAAAACAAAAATTTGTTTTTCACATAATTGGACAACTGAAGGGAATGTTCACACAATTTACAAATATTCTTAACTCCCTTAGTAAATCAGCTTCAAAGTCTAACTATAGATTAGCCATTAACCTCAAAGGCTAAACCATCACTAGAATTATCAACTGATATTTAACTATATCACTTAAACTACTGGGCCAATACTCACCTTATATCAATTCATACCCCGGCATGCATCACCATATTTTGGTACAGAGATTCCAACCTCTGCAAATACCTAACTGGAATTTAAAAAATGGGAAAATCCACTTGTACCTTATTTAGGCCCTGAGGTTGTATTGAACGGATTTGTAAAAATTAAAGACATTATCAAATGCAGACTATATTCCTCCTAAAAGCCAGAATAATTATGGAGAATGACTTTTGTATTACCAGCAGAATTCCAAAAACAAAACAAAAAAAGACATAAATATAACATAGCTGTTCTCAATACATAATTATGGCTGAGTATTGCATTTACAGTTGAAATATCTGTTTCTAAATATTTTCACAACTCAGTAAATTTGAACTGAATATCAATTGTAAGAATATCAGTTGGCAACCTTTATTATTACACGTCTCATGCCATAATTACATAATAATTTATTTTTTTGTAATACCTAAACTATATCATAATGTATCTGTCCAAAATATGTTTCTAGAAAGAGTTCCTTTCATAAAAATAACATTCCTTTAGTTCTTGAGCAGACTGAATATTGGATTTCCAAAAAATGAAAAAAGAAAACCTTTATATGACTACTTTGTCCTATATACATTCTATTTATGATGTTTCTCTTACCAGTTCCAGCCCCTGTAACATCTCTTCAAGCATCAAACAGAAATACTTCTGATAGCCTGTGGTTTACATGGAATCTAGCTTTAGGAGATGTGGCTGTGTATGAACTTATACTGTATAACCCTAATGGCACTCAGAAAGAAAAGTTACAAGGCATTGACATTAGTGAATATCATTTCCAAACGCTGGTTCCTGGGAGAATATACAAATTGGTGATAATGACACACAGCGGTGATTTGTCTAATAAGGCTACAGCAGATGCTAGAACAGGTATTTACCTAATTCTTTTGTATTATTCTGTTTATTTATTTTCTTGAATGTTATGTACCACCAACACATATACATAGAACAGTTCAAATCAATCCCTGTCCCCGACAATTCAAGGACCTACCAGTGTGTTTGCGAATTGTGTGAAGATGCTAGAAGAAAAACACAAAAATATGGGGAGAGGATACAAACTCCATGCATATAATGCCTACAGCAATATTTCATACCAGGGCCCAGAGTTACAATACAAGAGAGGTAACTTTAGCCACATGTTGCCTAAGTAGGCTAAGCTAGTTCAGGTAGCACAAAACTTGCTGAATATTGGGATAGTTCACTTCCAGCATATTAAATATTTGCCAAGCAGAACAAGAAATAGACTCAACTATGGAAAATAGATTTAATGACTTGTCCATCTCTATGCCTTGATAATGGTGCTATGTTGCGTTGAAACTACTTCATATTGACAAAAGCAATATTGCAGTGATATCTGCATGGTATCACTGTGTTTGATATTGTACGTGTTGTTGCACATTGTTGAGTTGAGGCCTTCAGCTGACAAAAAACATTTGCAATTGAATGCTGAAGTGCTCTTCCACAGAATATATTTATAAGGCTAGCCATACAGGCATATTCCTACATCTAAGCTGTATCTTCGTCCACGCATCCATGACTGTGTGAATGCCCGAAGAGTGATTGCATCTGATTTGATGCAGTCATTATTTGGCTGACAATTTTCCACCCAGCTCCTTTGATTTTTCAGTTGGAGTTTGTCATCAGAGCCACCCAAGGGTGAGGGGTGTATGGCAGGCTTAAAACAGAGCTCCAGCCAAAGCTACAAAAATAAAAGTCAGCAGCTAAAAAAAACTGTAGCTGCTGATTTTTAAAAAGCAGACACTTACTTGTCCCATGATCCAGCAGTGTTCTCACCACAGCCGGTTTCACCAGCCATCCTCGCTCCCCGGTGTGGTCATCTTAAGTTTGGGCACCCAGGAATGACAGCTCGGGACTTCATAGTCGGGTGCCCACTGTGTATGTGCCAGTAGCGCTGCGCCTTTTGAATGGTCACATAGTCTTCTGGAACCTGTTATGCAACCCAGAAGACTATGAGGAGGGAGGGGGGGAAGACAGCTTAGGACCAGTACTTAAAGTGGAACTTCCCTTTTTGGGTGGAGCTCCACTTTTCCTACATAGTAAGGAATCATTAACCTGTAAGTACCCAATACTTGTTGGCCTTTTTACCTAACATTGGAGGAAGTGACTCAACAAAATGTGTACTGTTGGGTACAGACATATAACAAATGTAATTGCACTTCTGGATTAAATGTCTTTGATTTCAGGACATGTTGTTTATTTGCACTGTTTGTACTGTAATATTCTCAGTATGTGTACTTTAAATAAAGAATTAAACAAATATACATGCTGGCCTTGTAGCATGCACAGCACCTTCATATTCTTAAGGGATTTACTCAACCATAGGACTTTATTGGCTGTATTTCTTATGGCACCTTTTATATAATTTTAGTTCAGTGGTTTAAAAAAGGTCTAAAAAGGTCACAGAAATAAATTTTTACAATAGGTTAGATTAATATCAGAGTATTAACCAGTTCCACAGTGAAAATTTATGTATTACATATTGTTTGATCACTCTCAAATTATATCAAGGGTATATTTTACCTATAAGGAAACACTTTAACTATGCAGGAGTTGTTGAACTTCTTTCTTTAAATGAACGAGTCTCTTAATTTTTTGTGAATCAATAATTCAATAACCAGTATAGTTTTCTTTAACTGAAAGCAGTATTACATATACTGTGTGCTATACCTACATAACTCAGTGATAATGAGAAAATAGCAATGTTACTTTATGAAATAAAACCCAATATATTTTTTTTTCTCTACCCAGCTCCTCAAGCACCAAATTTGGTGTCATTTACCGATGTTAAGAATACCTCTGTTTCCATACATTGGCAAGGCCCTCCAGACTGGACTGACTATGATGACTTTGAACTTCAGTGGACACCTACTGACCCCCTGGTGGTATTTAACCCTTACAGCACTGGCAAGTCATATGGACGAATTGTTACCGGCCTAAGACCTGGGCGTCTATATGAATTCAGTGTGAGAAGTGTCAGTGGAAATGTAAAGAAGACTTTTAGTCAGCTCGCTGTTGGCTCCGTAAGAACTAGTGAGTCATATAAAGAAAATATACATAAAATGACAATGCTTGTTATATATGTTTTGCAGTTCAGATTGTCATATGAAGGCACTTTCTCCTTACCTGAAGGCCTGGCAGCTGCGTAGATCAGCTGAGAGTAAACCACAGCCAAGACTGTGTTTACTCTATTAAGTCTAATGTTATGCATTTGAATAATTATGAAAATCAAAGTAGTGTTTGCATATGGATGCTGATAATTGAGAAATCATCTTAAAACAGCAAGAACAATTAAGCTGTTTTAGTCGCTTGAAATTTTTTTTATATGATAATATTGTTTGTGGATGCAATTTTATATAACACATTATATTTTAAGCTTTAAGAGCATGTCAAATTAAAGTTGGATGAGTTTACTGAAGATTTATGGTCAGATTTGAAGATGTCCTTTTACTGATTCTAAGACTATAAGAATTAAGACCTGTGTATACTATGAAAGTATAAGCTCCTTGTATATTTATTTTGGCACTTGTATTGAGGTTTAAAAGAGTACAATAGGTGAACTTATTCACAATGAAAAAATGATTATGGCTATGCTAAAAATATTCACACACATACTGCAATATGCATTGAAAACAGGTATACAGGCAATTACGGTTCTCGCAAAGGAGATAAATTAAAGCACCAGCATTTTATGCAGTCAATGTTTCTACAGAGCTCAGTCCATCTTTCTCAAGACACTAAAACAGGGAAGGTGATAAACTTCTATCTGGTGTTTATCAGGCAGGAACAGACCACCTCCATTGTGTAGTGTGTTGAAAAAGATGGACAGAGCTCTGTAGAAGCATTGGCAATAAAAAGCTATTGCTTTGAGTTATCTCCACTGTAAGACCTGTGAGTGCCTCTATACCAGTTTTTTGGATTTGTATGGATTTATCCTTGTGTATGAGTATGTATGGGCATTCATATTTATCTCACACAAAGAGTATGGTGACTACACACATGGGACTGTATATATATATATATATATATATATATATATATATATGTGGTATTTATTTAGATCACATATAATGCCAGTACTAATTCATGAACCTGATATAACCCAATGCTGCTAATCACTAACTGCTCAGGATTTGGAAAAATCTAATTAAAGAACCATGTGGAATGTATACTGGATACATATTTGTTCTGTTACACAGCATGGGTTACACACTTTACATTAAAAGGTCCATGCAAAGTATGAGATAAGGGGGGAGCAAACGTCACTCAGGACCAGCCCCAGGAGTCCAGCGTGCATGTGTATGTGTAGAGTGGCCTCAGCACCCCGCTAGCCACGCCCTCTGATATCCATGCAAAGTAGATTTTTTAAAAGTGTTTTATGCTTTTCTCTGGGGTTTCCATTCTACTTGCCTTTCACTGTTACTGAGGAACCTGAGAATAAATAAGCTAACCAGCAAACAGTACCCAGTATAAACTTTTTTTTTGGGCCTGGTTTAGTGCTATTTTGAGTCTAGGTTCTATGGCAGTGCTACCTTGGGTGTACAATAAATTGCCTACTGTATCACCATTCTATTATGTCTAATTTGTAAGAGACAGTACAATCCAGAAGGACATAGTGAGGAGGGACTCAATAAACCAATAATACTCCACTGAGCTATTGTGTAGCATAGTAGAGCCTTTTTAGAACAGAAAATATATACATGTCTTATTCAACCACATATCTTAACACTAATGGTATAATTATTCCTCATTTCAGAATAGTGAGCAAAGAGAAGCAAATCATTCCTTTTTGCTCATTGTCTAACTGTACTTCCCAAACTGCTGTGGGTATAACACATATACAGACTATTATTAAAAAGCTATTAGTTACATACAGCAGACAGCTGTTTCAGGCATGTGGGCCATCTTCTTGCGGTATATGAGCATATTGACTTCCATACACTGCAGTCACCAGCCACCACTGTGGCATAGGCCTTGAGGATCTGAGAGAAAGTATAAGTCATGATGAGATATGACTAAAGTAACCAAAAAGTCCTCCATTGAGCCTATCAGAGTTGATTTACTAAAGTCAAATAGGCTGTTCACTGCAAGGCAATTTTCTCTTAGCTTAGTGAATGTGGTGAAAATTCACTTTGCAAAAAGTACCCAACCAAATGCAAGGAAAATTACAAAAACAGTATATTTGCTTGCACGTGATTGGATGATGGAAGTCAACAGAACGTCACCTCATTCTCTAAACAAAAGTAGAAATTCCATTAGGTAGTGAACATCTATTTGCCTTTAGTAAATCAACCCTAATGTGTAGCACAGTAAGGCCTTCTTAGAACAGAACTTTTGCAAGCATTCAAGGAGAAGTTACTGGATCAACAATTCAGCAATGCTGAAAACACGTATTTATATTATTCAAGCTTTGTGAACCTGTGTGACCACAAAGATTTAAATAAGTATGTGATTTGATAGTGGATGTATATTTCAATAACCACAACAAATTACCTTTCTTCATAGAACCTGACAAGATACAACATCTGCATTGCCGGCCTCAAAATTCCACTGCAATCTCCTGTTCATGGACACCCCCAGATTCTGATTTTGATGCATATAGCATAGAGTACAAAAAGAATGGCTCTGATGTGGTGGAATACTCAAAAAGAATTGAAAAACATAGGTCAACACTCACAATCATGCACCTTGAACCACATAAAAGATACGTAGTATCCATCAAAGTGCACTCGGCAGACATGATAAGCCAGATGGTGGAGGACAGCACCATAACCATGATTGATCGTAAGTACCGGTGATCTGAAAACAACTAAATTCATATGGAACATAGATAAAAATAGATATGGATGCTCTTACCATTGTTAAAATACATTTTGCATATATTTAATATAGTGCCCATGCATGCAATATATCCAGCTGTAATAGAAAAACGTGTTCTGGTTCTCTTCTGATAAAATGTCTATATAACTTATTTAAACTACTGAACTACTACTATGACAAGACATATATTTATGTGCCTGATTGCTGTTTTCTGTATTGAATGTGTTCTTTGATATACAACGTATGAATATAATTCTGCAATGCAATTTCTCTCACCATAAAAGCCCCATATATTAAGCTCAGCTTTGTCAGAGTATATACTATATACTTAAAATGCAAACAGTATACGTTGTAAAATTCAGATTGTATGTACATAGAATTTGGCAATATGTAATGACCAATACAAAAAGGCTGCCACTAGCTTATTAGTTATGAACTAAAAGATTTTTTTTTGTTTTTTTTTTTCTCCTTTCAGGACCTCCTGCACCACCTATTCATATTAGAGTGAATAAAATAGATACTTTTATTAGCAAGTCAACAATTCACTTCAGTTTTAATTGCAGCTGGTTCAGTGACACCAATGGAGCTGTCAAATACTTCACTGTGATTGTGTCAGAAGCAGATGGTAAATTTCTATCAAATACAGATGTTTAATTCTCATGCCTTTGCAAAACAATTCATATGTGAAGCTTCAAGTGATACTCTAAATATAACTTGTCTCTTTTTATTTAATGTATTTGTCAAAGATACCTGGGTGGCTTGGTCATAACCAGAAACCATTTTTTCTGTTATTTAGATTAGTGTTTAGAAAGTTGCCTAACATAGCAATATGGAATGGTTTAGGGGTGACAAAGATATCCAGACTCCGAAATATTGGGGTTGATTACTAAAGGAGTAAAGGACATTCATACAGACCTGTTTCACACTACTGTGATTTCAGATGCAATTTGAGTCGCACAGAATTGCATGACAATGTAAATCACATTGTTTTCCATGGTATCCATTCACATCAATGCAACTCAGCACAGTGTGATTTTGGAAAAGGGTCCTGTACAGGGGTGGACTGACAACTCATGGGGCCCCCGGGCAACAGGGGATCATGGTGCCCCTGTGTCCCCGCCCACAGTCAAACCACACCCAAAAAAGCCTATGAAAAGAGGTACCAGGGGCATCACATAGGGCCCCCTACTGACTCCGGGCCCTCAGGCAGTGGCCGTGTTCCCAAATGGTCAGTTCGCCCCTGGTCCTGTACTACTTTGATATATTTCCAGTGCAATTTTGGCACTAAATCCAAAATGCTACCAAGATGCAACCACAACCCATGGCTCTGCTCCAGACTTGCTCCTTTCAACCCACAAGGATGACCAGGGTGCTGGCTATCACAGCTCCTCTCCTCCCTCGATCAAATGTAGAAAAAAAATATAACCAACAGTTATCTCTTCTTTCTGTATTTAATTTGTCAAAAAAAACATTAAAAAATTGCATATTTTGATGTCTCCACCCAAAAGCACCTTATCTGATGCTTTTCACCACTACTGGCTTGCTCACAAGAATATAGGTAGTCCCCTATCTTTCTGAGCAATCCAGCAGTGGTGAACCGTGTTAGAAGAAGAGGAACAGAATATTGGAACAGGAAGAAAGAGCTGTAAAATAGGAGGTGACCAAATGGGGAAGGGGGGGGAGGTGATGGGCATCTGTAAAAAAAAATTTTTGCATGATTTAATATATGGAAAATTGTTGCATTTATATTGATGATTAAAATGTATAAAAAATAAAGTAAAAAAAAAAACCAACCAAGTCACACTACATTATCACACTGAAAATCGAATCAAAACCAGATTGCAGGAGTGTAAACCTAGCCTTAGAAAAGTGAGTGTTTGCTTAGGTTAATAAATAAGGTGAAGCTGTGTTCACTTTAAATACCTAATAGTGTTCAAGGTACAGAGAGCAGCCTTTTTTTTTTTGCACTGGTTTGATAATGGAAGTGAGCACAACTTCTAATAAGCTTATTGTAATTGCTTTTCAAAAATGTTTTTAAAAACGATTATTCATTTTGCTAGGTACTTTATTCCTTTAGTAAATCAACCTCAAATTCTAAAACAGTAGCTTTACATACGAGTCAGTCTTTGTAAAACTGATGTACTCAGCAAGCGTTTTCGCAGCATTAGATCCAGTAAAGTTTTTACTTCAAAAGTTTATGAATTTGCAAAATCTTTAAATCCTTAAACTTACTAGAGCATGTTAATCAGATCTCCTTGCTTAGTCACCTCTTCCCAGCTCACAGCGAATTCCATAAACACTCAGAAAATACTTTTCAAAGTATAACTTTTGTCAGTTATCAGTATTCAGTTTGAATTCTCAAATGCCAAAAGTATTTAAGAAATATATGACATTTGAGAGGATAGTCGCTAAGTACTGAGATAAATATGTAATTACTATTAGCCGTGACAGTAAGTATAGCATTTGTTTGTCATCCCAAAGGCAGTTCTGTGTATTAAATTGCAAATGTTGGCTTTTGACTACTACATTTGCCGACATGTTCTGGAAAATATATTTGTCCATATTCACAGAAGGTGCTGATTAATACAATTTTAGCACACTTTACAGACAGCAGCTTTGTGTGAAGGACATGGAACAGTACTATTATGACTAGAATTATATCTATAGCTGGTGGTTTGTGATGTGCTATGTGATACAGTAAATGAATGCTAATAGATTGTCTGGATTATTCTACCTGTCACAGGCAATGAAAATGTGAAGCCAGAGCCGAATCACCCCCTGCCAACGTATACCGATTACAAAAAGAACAGCTCCATTAAAGTCTATCAGACAAACTACTTTGGAAGCAAATGTGCGGAAACTGCCGACTACAATATCCAACCTGTCAGAATAAAACTGGGTGGGGAAATGGAAATCCTGGGAGGAAAGTGTGAGGACAATCAAATGAGATTCTGTGATGGCCCATTGAAGCCAAGGACATCCTACAGGTCAGAAAAGTAGAGGTGCTAACTAGATGAATGTGAACGTAAACCATATACTCTCTCACTGATTTGTATGTCGGATTGTATTTCCAACAGTTCATTAACTCACTAAGCAAGCATATAAAATGTTAAGTGAAATGTCAACTGTTTGTGCTTCTTACATTGGATCTCACTAACACCAGAAAAAAGAAAATCTGGCAGAATGGTTTTTGTAGGCAGATTTTCTTTAGCCCCTCATACCACATTGCAAAAAATGAATAGGACAAAATTCTATACTTTTTTTATTAATTGTATGTAGGCTGGAAGCTGAAAAACAAATGATTATCATCTTAGAATAAAGTATTCCCATGCCATTGGAGTTATTACATTAGTATGTGGAAACAAAAGTCATATGTAAATTGCAAGAGGCCAAATCAGCATTTCACCATGGAGAACTCTGAACTATAAAAGATGACTTTATATAGTTTGCTGTGATTTGTACTCTGCACATTGCTCTCTGTAGGAGGAATAGCAAATGCACATGTATCTTTAGGGTGTCTCCGCTGCCTTCACAATACTGCTGTATCACCAAGACATGGTATATCAGGGGTCTCCAAACTTTTTAAACAAAGGACCAGTTTACTGTACTTCAGACTTTAGGAGGACAGGACTGGCCATTGGGAGTAGAAAAGGTCCCGACGTCAGTGAGAGGAATATTGCCCCATTGTTGGTGTCATTGAGAGGAATTGTGCCCCATCATTGGTGTTATTGGTTTCCAGTGTTGGTATCATGGAGAGGAATTTTGTCCCTTCATCGGTGTCAAGGGAGGGAATTATGCCCCATTGTTGGTATCAGTGGATGAAATAGTGCCCAAAGGGCAGAATAAAAGCAAGCAAAGGGTCACAGTTTTGAGACCACTGGTATAGAGGAACTTGCATTATGATTACATTAAAATGGTATTGCCACTGTCTGACCCTCACATTGTCTGCATTCCCAGTGCAGTGTATGTTCTAGACCTTTTATGATTAGTCTTTTTAAATGCCATAGAGGTTGCTTGCTGTTTTCATGTTGCCTTTACAGCCATTGAAATCAAGCTGGGGGTGAGGAGATCAATGACATAATTACATCACATGATCAGCATACCAATATGTTTGGGCTGAATTATTAGCTTGGCTATCAAAGTTCCACAACTTTGTGGAGTGGGTGGGAACTTGATTTATACATGTAAATGAAAAAAATATATATCAAATGCGCTGCCAAGCGGGATGAATGGATCTCTTTTGAACTTCAACTGTGTAAGCTGCACACACCAAAAAGGTGTTCCCGCACCCAATTGGAAATATTGAAAATTATACATAGAAATATATATAAAAGGTGGTGTGCTAACACACAACAAACTGCCCCCTAATACAAAATATAAAATAAATGCGATAAGAGAGTAAACATCCAGCTGAGCCCTGCACACTGCAACCCAGGGAAATGATAAATAAATCACCAAACCATAAATAACCGCAAATAATAAACGAATGAAGTGATAATAAATAAATAAAAAATAAAAGGCTGACAATAAACACCTGGCTGCCCTACTAAGTGAAAATAAAAAATGTGTCATAAATATGTAAAGCCATAGTGGTAAATAGTCAAACACACATCAACCCTCCTAAACAGAAATGCAGCAGTATTTATAAAAAATTTGTGATGTCAATAATATTAAATGAACAACATAAGTAAAATTATATCAACATATAACAAGTGCAAGTGCACAGTGATGAATAAAGTCCCAAAGAAATAATATTCAATCGATGATATGTGAAAAAAAAATGTCCACTTCAAACACCGCTGTGTCCACCTCTACCAGAGGTGTGCGCTTACCTTCCAATTCTGACCTAGAAACCAGGTCAACTTGCGCTCAGTAGAAATCCTCCTTCAATAGTAATTTCACAGACGTATGGGTCCGCTTTGGTACACAATGTTTGGGAATAAAGCCCAAACAGAAACACAAAGGATCCTCATAGTGCAGTAAGTACTATCATTTAATATTAAATATAAAACTTACACTCACATGGAGCAAAGGGCTACATAGCCCATTCAAGCATAAAACAGAGGTGAACCAAGATGGTGGCTGGCAGTGCCGCACCAGAAATGACATCTTCCATTCGATGCATTTCATCACGCATCACATGACTTCATCGGGGATTCATACATGATTGATCTATTTTTAAAAAAAGTTGAGGGGGGGTGGTAATTGGGGTGGACTGACAACTCATGGGGCCCCCGGGCAATAGGGGATTATGGGGCCCCTGTGTCCTTGCCCACACTCAAAAAAGCCTATAAAAAAGGTACCAGGGGCATTTCATGGGGCCCCCTACTGACCCCGGGCCCTCGGGCAGTGCCCAAGTGCTCGAATGGTCAGTCCGCCCCTGGGTGGTAGTGCAAATATTACTGTGAGAGTAAAAAGTTGTTCAGCAAAATTGACAGAGAGCTTTGTTTGGACAAACAATAAGGACTTATGTAAATGGAATTTGTATGTATCAGAGCTGTTTTTCACCCCATACAAATCAATGGACGTTTTATAGAAGATGAATGCAGCTTTGAAGGACAGAAACATGCCAGATGGATCTCTGAAACACCTGTGCAAGAGCTCAGAAGGATTTCAGAAGCATCTCAAACTAATCTCAAATTCAAGCTGAATGCACATAAAGCATTCTGCATTTGTCCATTCTGCAGTTTTGCAGATATTTTCTTTTAATTTGAACTATGGCACAGGGTAGGCAACATTTGAAAGGTGGAGATCAACCTGAACAACATGAAAGAGATCAAAGATCACTAAGGTTCAGTGCCCCTTTTTAAAGAAATTAACTAGCAAGGCCTAACTAAATAGTAAGGAAACTTAGAAAAATATAACAATAAAAATGTCACTGTAAAAAATATAAACTTAGCCTACCTTAAAAGTGGACAGCTTCAGTCAGCAGAGCAGTGAGCAGTGTCATTTGGGCAGTGGATGGTGTGTGGACAGTGTCAGTAGGGCAGTGTATGGTCTCAGCAGGGCAGTGGATGGTGTCAGTAGGGCAATGCATGGTGTCAGTTGAGCAGTGGGCAGTGTCAGTACGGCAGTGGACAGTATCAGAAAGTAGTGGATGTGTCAGTAGGGCGGAGGTTAGTGTCAGCAGGGCAGTGAATGGTGTCAGTCAGTAGAGCAGTGGACGGTGTCAGTAGGGCAGTGTACTTTTTCAGTAGTGCAGAGGACAAGGTCAGTGGAGCAGTGGATGGTGTCAGTAGGGCAGTCGATGGCACCAGTGGAGCAGTGGATGGTGTCGGTAGACCAGAGCATGGTGTCAGTTGATCAGTGTGCGGTGTCAGTAGGGCAGTGGACGGTATCAGAAAGCAGTGGATGTGTCAGTAAGACAGAGGTTAGTGTCAGCAGGGCAGTGAACGGTTTCAGTCAGTAGAGCAGTGGACAGTGTCAGTAGGGCAGTGAACTTTTTCAGTAGGGCAGAGGACAAGGTCAGTAAAGCAGTGGATGGTGTTAGGATTTTTTATTTTTGTTATTTTATTTTTTTTATAATTTTTACAATTTGGTGGTTTTGGTGAAATATCAGAGGCCTAAACAGAGACCCGATGTCTCACATTTGAGACAGAGAAAGAAGATTGAGGACACAGTCTGCAATCTCTGTCTCTGCAACCTCAACTTCACAGAATGAATAAACAGGAAGAGCTCTGTACTGTCTCCCTGTTCATTCATAAACTAAAGCATAGTAAACATAGTTTACCATGCTTCAGCTATGAACAAACACAGTCAGTGATCAGTGCTGATCATTCACTGTGTTCATTCAGAAATTAATAAATCATTTACTGGCCCCTCCCCCCACTCTCCATTCTGAAAGGATCCCTGCAGCAGCCAGTAGGAGAGAAGAGGAAGGAAAGCTGGAAGCGCTATGCGCTGCGAGGTGGGTGACAAACCAATGGAGCATATGGGGAGGGGGGGCAGGCAGCAGAGGGAAGTGGAAACTGGAGATCAGGCATGGCAGGGGTGGCATTTACTGGGATCAATCCCTTAAAGTTTCATCCTGAAGCCTCTGAATCCCAGCGGGAGGGAGAGCAGGAGTAGCCGACTTTCAGCTACTGGAGGAGGAAACTACAGTGGATCGGTTCCAGTAAATGCTGCCATCTCTCCTGTCCAGGTTCTCGGGGTCAGCAAGGAAGGGACACAATCTACCCGTCACCTATCTGTGATTGGCAGGTAGATTGTGATCAACGGGTTGCCGACCACCAAACTATGAGTGATTGTAAGCATCCTTGGCAATGTTATAGTTTGTGCTACCCTTGTCATTGTTACTTTAACTTGGTATACAAGTAAATGATGAAAAACATAAATGCAAGTGGAATACAAAAAAAAGGAATTAATATGTTGACACTTTAATTACTTGAATTAACCACATAGAGTTATCATAATATAATCTTTTTATAATAGTAGTGTCTTAATCACTGAAATATAGCATTATTCTTGTAAAGTTACTTTTTACATAGTTGCAAACTAAGGTTGAAAAACTACAAATCAACTACATTCAACCATTAATTTTAATAAAGTGGCATTTGTTGACCATCGTGCTGCAGTATTTTCCCCAAAATCTCAAACAGTTCAAAGGAACACTTAGGAGGAAAAGTACATAAGTTCTTGGTGCATGGCACAAACAATAAAAACAGAAGTGTGCTATTCTAGTCAGATTTTTGGCAATGCTTTCATTGTGGTAAGAACATCTAATTTACTTGAAAATGCAGTAAGCAGTTGACAGATTTTGCAGTACAGAAAAAGGAGTTGCTGAGGATGTATTTATTGTGTTTAGAATATTTCATGCATCGAACGACATATCAGACTGGATGTCACTCCACTTCCTCAAATTAAACCTTTCCAAAACCGAGCTCCTAGTTTTCCCCCCAACCCATGCCCCTCCCCAACCTCTCCATCACGACCAATAACGCCACCATCAGTCACACCCCGCAAGCCAAAGTTCTAGGTGTCACTCTAGACTCCAGCCTATCCTTCCAGCCCCATGTCCAATCACTGGAAAATTCATGCAGGCTCCACCTCCGCAACATCTCCAAAATACGTTCGTTCCTAACCCCAGACACTACTAAACAACTCGTTCATTCCCTTATTATCTCACGACTCGACTACTGCAACTCCCTCCTCTCTGGCTTACCTCATCAGAGACAATCCCCGCTTCAGTCTATCCTGAACTCAGCGGCCAGACTCATCCACCTTACCAACCACTCCGTATCTGCCACCCCCCTCTGTCATTCCCTCCACTGGCTTCCGATTGCCCAACGCATAAAATTCAAACTACTAACATTGACGTACAAAGCTATTCATAATACTGCCCCAAACTACCTCACCGACCTGATATCCAAATACCACCCAACACATACTCTTCGCTTCTCACAAGACCTCCTACTCGCTAGTTCCCTAGTTTCCTCCTCCCATGCCCGACTCCAGGACTTCTCCAGGTCTTCCCCCATCCTCTGGAACTCACTAGCCCAATCCATCAGACTGTCATCTACCCTCCTCACCTTTAGGTGCACCCTGAAAACCCATCTCTTCAGGGAAGCCTACCCCGCCCTCACCTAACAGCTGATCTCCTCCTACCACTCCATCCCCCACAGCCATTTCCTCCTGTACCACTATCCCCTCCCTCCTAGATTGTAAGCTCCAAGGAGCAGGGCCCTCAAACCCCTCATGTATTGTTTTGTTACTGTATTGTCTCATTTACTGTCCCCCACTATAATGTACAGCCCTGAGCAAACTTTTTGGCGCTATATAAATACTGTATAATAATAATAATAATCTGCTAACATACGGTACCACTTAGGCAAGAACCCACATACTAAAATATGAACATATTAATGATTTGCTTTAAATGGGTTTTAAACTGAAGCTATGAAGGGTAGCACTTCCCTCTGTAGTCCTCTGACAGGTTCATGTGACTACTGGTTGCTCCCCCTGCCTGTTGCCTTGCATGCCTCTCCAACATTCTGTAGCCTATGGCAGTAAAGAGAAGAAGTCATGTGTAAGTGTTAGGTCACTCTGATTGGAGCTCACACAGGACTATGGTCTCTCTAGTTGCCCCCATGTGATTGCACAGGTGGATGATGATTGGCTGCTCAGGCAGACAGTGCTCCATTGTGGAAGGGAGCTGAGTGAGTCACATGCTCCATAGGGAAGGTAAGTACATCTGGGAAGGAGGGAAGTTAAGTGAACTTGTTAACTTTCCCTTCATTGGCAAAGTTCAGGTTCATGTAAAGATCTGTGAGGTCTCTTTGCTGGTACTACCTGTGATCAGCTGACTTGTACCATTAAAGAACAGCTCTAAGGCTACATGTATACCTATAATTGACTGGTCCGATTGACTGTAATTGACTGGTCCAATTTAGCACCATGTCAAAAAGGTTGGAAATTCATTTTTAGCATGCCATTCCATTTACCATGTGAGAAGTTTTCTGCTTATTTGTAAAAATGGAAAGCCCTTCTAAAGGCTCCAGAATATTCAAATATGTGATCTAATTGATTATGGTATTTGTACATAAAACAAACTAGAGCTTATGTGTTAAGGCTTCTTATTGGTGGGAGAACAACATGAGCCAATCAAGACCTTGGTTTTTAAATGTCTTGGCTAGTTGGAAGAGGCAATGTTAAGCTGTATCTGAGTCTAGCACCCTAAAAAGAGCATAGATGAACGATAAGGCTCTTGAAGGGGTTAGATGGCTCGTTCAACTTTGTTAGTGCTGTGTTGTAATAGTTGAATGTGTAATGAAAATGCCCATATTTTAAAAGGGAATCTTTCAGAAAGCAAAAAAACCTGTTTGGGAAGCTTAGCATTCCTTGTTTTATGGACTATGTTTTAAAGCCAGATCAATAAAATAATTTACAGTGAAGGTGGACAGGGGCCTCTTTAATTGCATACATTTGAATGAGTGTTGTCTACTTGTCCCAGTTGTAATACATGCCCACCTGAGGCATCTCAGACAATTGTTTTTTTTTGTGATAGATTAAAGTGGTTCTAAAGGCTGGACTTTTTTTTACCTTAATGCATTATTCCCTGCATTAGGGTAAAACATGTCTCAGTATTTGTATCGCCCGCTCACCCCCCGAGTCCTTTATTGATCCAGCACTTTGTCCATCTGTAGTGGCTCTCTTTCCTCTCTATTGCTCACAGAGGCATCAGCCAGAGCCGATGGCTCCTGCTGCTATTAATCAAATTCTGTGAGATAGTGGGGGAGGGGCTGAGCTATGGTGTGTGTGTCAATAGATGCAGACAACCCAACTCAGGAGCTAGCCGAAGGTGTGCCTCCATAGCAAGCCACATTGCACACAGACAAAAAGAGGAGCCAAGAGCACTGGCAGGGGACCCTGGAAGAGGAGGTTCAGGGCTTCTCTGTGCAATACCATTACACAGAACTGGTAAGTATAGCAAGTTTGTTAAAAAAAAATATTACTCTTTACAATCAAATGTATTTTCAGTCTAGACAGAACTTATACATGGATTTGTCTTTTGTTTGTAAAAATGATAATGGGCTGACTTAATTTTGTTATATGACTGATGTTATGCATGACAGTGTTTTTAGTTTTCAAATTAACTTTGCGTCATTTTCAAATAGCATAAGATAAATATTTATTATTTATTGTTTTATAGGATTAGTATCAGAGCTTTTACGCAGCTTTTTTCTGATGAGCTGAAGGAGTTCTCAGAGCCCTTGTTTACGGATACTTTCTTCTCATTGCCCATCACAACAGAAGCAGGTGAGATGGTCAGCCGGGACGATTTATACTTTCAAAGTGAATATGAACACTGCAAAGTGAATTTTCACTTATCTTGGTGAATGTGGTAAAAAAAAAGTGTAAATTCTCTTTGCAAAAATACCCAATCTTGCACAAAGAAAATGAAAAAAAGGATTTTTACTAGATAATTGAAGTCAGCACTGCACCTCATTTACTAAGCTAAGTAAATTTTTCCTGGCAAAAGTACGTTTTCACCTTCCTTAGGGAATAAGATGCGGTTGTGTTAACTTTAATTACTTTAATTACCTAATTACATGTGAGCAAAAATACTCTTTTTTATTTTTTGCGCATATTTTGGTATTTAATTAAGTTAAATTAAGTTAATTTTCACTTTACCTCATTATCTATGCTAGGGGAAAATTCACTTTGAAATTGAACATGATGTAGTCCTTTATTAAATCAGGATCACTGTTTGCACTGTTTGTCTGGGGCTTGATGCCGAGCGGCCGCATATTTGCGTGCAATTAGAAAATACATGAGCTGAGAGCATGCGCCCTGCACTCTAAAAAATAACTCAAGCGACCTGTTACCACCACTAAATTAAATGTGTATTTCCAAGATAAAAATCCTAATTTATTGGTTTAAATAAACTTTTTCATTTAAAAACCTACTTTCATGAGTTATGTTGGAAATTACATCAACTTAATATTATGTGTCATGTACAGTCACATTTCTGCATTCATTGTTGTACAATGAAATTTAAGTTAAGGTACCTTAATAAATTTGACTTGGTAACTTAATTTTGCTCTACATTGAGAGCTGCATTGCAAGTCTCCACCCCCATTCACTTAACACAAATCAAGTCTCAGTTGTTTCAAAAACTGTTCCTTGAACTTGATGGACTGAAAGCCAGTGCTAAAGTAATGGGTCTCAAGTACAGTATTCTCTGAAGAACGTATGTGTTCCATAGCACAGTCATACTCAGATGACATTTTTCACTTTTATTTCAGTTCACAAAATGGTTGTCGCAGGGTAATGCGGAAAGAATATAGCAAATTGTAAGAAAGCTCACAAAATATCAACTTTCAATATCCTCCAATAGCTTTACTATATTGCACAATTTGTTGCACAATATAGCAAAGGTCTTGTAGAGAAACAGTTTCTGCACCAGACAGACAATATTAAAAAAATCTTAATGCAAAGTGCTTACTCATTCATCAGTACAACTTTAAGGATTTGATTTTGGTGTGCAAAAAATGTCAATTGTTTAACATTGGATTGTTGGGCCTTGGTTCACACAATGAAGTGCATGTGAATCACAAAGGAACTGCAACACATTCCTGTGCAATTCACATGTGGTTCAGTGTAATGCAATTTGAGCCCATTCATTTTGAATGAGCTCAAGTCACACCACATCGCACCAAAGACATGCATGCACCAATTTTTGAACCACAGTGCAACCAGATTGCATGTTTTGTTTTGTACCATGCAATCTGGTGCCGGCAAATGTACTGTGTTTGCAACACTGACATCCACTGCAGACTGCAAGGGTAGTGCGATTTGAATGCGGTGCGCGAAATGCACACAGATTGCGGGGTTTCTGCAACACATTCTAGTGTAAGCCTAAACTGATTAATTCATTTTTGAAAGCTAGTATAAAAAAAACAAAGCTAAAAACTAATACAGAAAATCAATTTGGATCAACTTGATTTTTAACTGCTTTTTAACTTTAAAAAACTTGCTCATAATTGTAGCAATTAAGTACACGTGACTTGAAGGTTTCTTATAAAAACTGGAAAAACTATTTGAATTAACTTAATATGTTTAAGTACTCAACTTAAAAACATGTGTTTATAATGCCAGTAGTTAAGTTGGCGGTAAATAAAAATGCATTCATTTCTATCAGAAAAGCTAATTACCTCAATGCAATGTAGTTTGTTGCTTCAACTTAATTTCACCAGACATTGTCATAACTTAAAAAGCTTGATGCAAACTGTTGAGCCAAAACATTATTTTTTAGAGTGTGCACGCTCCCAGCACATATGTCCGTGACTCACGGAAAGGTCCCGATCTCTCCTTGCGATTGGGTCCTTTTCCGATCATGTGACCGCCATGACAGCGAATCATGGTGGTCACATGACCCTAAAACCCCGCCCCTCCTCCCGTCTTCTGAAACTCTTAAAGGGCCAGGAGGCGCCGGCGCAAAGGGGTTAAGGACTAATTTATATACCAAATTTAGCAGAATGCAATTGACTTCCTGATTATCCTCTTTGAAAAATCATTCTATTTTATCCCTTTCTTTCTTCATAGGGTCATTTCAAAGTGTATCTAAACCCAAAACCTATTTTTTTTTACTTGGATAGAGTAGGAAAGGGTTGGAGCCTCTTTTAAGTTTTTATTGCTGTCGGTTTCTCCACTAGGGAGATTCTTCCTCTTTTTGTCCATAGTTACATAGTTAGTATGGCTAAAAAAAGACAAAAGTCCATCCAGTTCAACCATATACAAAATATAATAATAATAATAATCCTACACCCACAGTTGATCCAGAGGAAGGCAAAAAAGCCAGCAAAGCATGAATGAATTTGCTCCTACAGGGGAAAAAATTCCTTTCTGATCCCCCGAGAGGCAATTGGATATTCCCTGGATCAGCTTTACCTATAAATGTTAGTAACCAGTTATATTCTGTGTATCTAAGAAAGAATCCAGGCCTTTTTTAAAGCAATTCTCTGAGCTGGCCAGAATCAAATATTGAGGGAGTCTATTCCACATTTTCACAGCTCTCACTGTGAAGAACCCTTTCCGTGTTTGGAGATTACATTTATTTTCCTCCAGATGTAAAGAGTGCCCCCTTGTCCTCTGTGATGACCTCAGGGTTAATAGCTCTACACCGAGTTCACTATTTGAACCACGGATGTATGTATACATGTTGATCATATCTCCCCTTAATCCCTTCTTCTCAAGCGAGAATAAATTCAGTTCCTCTAATCTTTCCTCATAGCTGATCTCCTCCATGCCTCTTATCAGTTTGCTTGCCCTTTTCTGCACTTTCTCCAGTTCCCCAATGTTCTTGTCCAGGCGACAAACAAAAAAGAATTAGTCATCAGAACATAAATAAGGGCAAATCTTCCAACAGGGACACTTGTTCAGTTGACAACGGTCTAGGAACGAATTGTCTTCAATTTGAAGAGACTGCCTTTCATTTGTAACATCTACAGGACAGAAAGTGAAGAGAATATCCCCAATAAGACACAGGTAGCTGTATCCAAAACAAAAGAAAAGTTTGTATTAGAGCAGAAAATTTGAAACGTAAATTATGTATGAAATCTTGTGAGTTGGCAAATGCACTCCCACAATATATTTTAGGCCCCAGAATATTAGAGATGAGATTTATTTTGTTAGGCCCCGCTTTGACAGCAGTGAAAATATAGTTCATGGAAATGTGAGGATCTAAAGTCACCTGTCTGTGATATGCTGCTAATGCTGAGCAAATTTCATGGAACACACATAAAACACACTCTTGCACGAAAGATTATAATTCTTAAACACTTATTTTTACAGAACCTCTTGTTGGAGTCATAGAAGGTGTGAGTGCTGGTTTATTCCTCATCGTTGTTCTAACTGGAGTCACAGCATTACTGATCTGTCGTCAGAGATGCAGAAGAGTGTGAGTATCCCAGCAGTCAATTATCAGAATCATACAGAAGAAGATTGTTATACCATTTACATATATCTGAATGAATATATACTTAGGGGTTGATTCATGGCTGCTGTTAGAAACCATGGGGCCCATACTGCCAACTTGACAGGGTGCCCCCCCCCCCTAAAAAAAAAAACAAACCACAGTTTACAATGCTTCAGTTATGAATGAACATAGTGAGTGCTCAGTACCAATCACTCATTGTGTTCATTCAGAAAAGAAAGGGTCTAGTAAATGTGATGTGTTTACCGGACCCTTACCCCACTCTCCATTCTGAAGGATCCTATTGTGTGCTTGCAGCTGTTGGTGGGAGGGAGAGGAGGGAAGCTGGCAGCACTGCGGGGGTCAGGGGATGACACTGGGCGGCCTGGGCAGGAGGTGGAAATGTATGGTGAACAGGGAAGGTGATAGGTACACCAGGGGGGCAATTACTGGAACCCCCTGCAGCAGTTGAAAGCCAGCAAGAGTGAGAGGAGAAGAAGCCAGATTTCAGTTGCTACAGAGAGAACCATACAGGGGATCAAATCCAGTAAATTCCCCCCACACTGTGATGATCACCCTCCCAGCCCACATCCGATTCACCCAGCTGCCTGGGCCCCCCTGCTGGCCTGGGCCCCATACAAGAGGCTGGTGGTACCCCCTTATCCACAGCCCTGGATTGATTTACTAAAGGCAAATAAATTTCTCACTTTACATGGGAATTCATCCCAAAGCTTACTGAATGAGGTAGAGCTCTGCTGACTTCCATCAGCCAAGCATATGCAAGAAAAATGCTGTTGTTTTATTTTTCTTGCATGCGATTGGGTATTCTTTGCAAAGTGAAGGCTTCACCACATTCACTAAACTCTTACAAAGTGAACAGCCTATTTACCTTTAGTAAATCAACCCTTTTGTGAGCTGCCAACATAACTGCCAGCTTGTGGTAGGCTAAAAGAATAATAATATTTTAACCTGCGCTTAGGTATAAATTAATACATATGTGTGTACACATAACTAAGTGGATAACTAGGTGAACATCATAATATAGACATACTATTTACGTGTTAATCATTACAATATATAAATCAAAAAAACAAAATGTGCAAAAAAAAATATTATTAAATCAATTAAACCAGGCTGCCACTGCTACAGAGGGTACTGACCCTCATAGAATTGAACAATCATTGTAGTTAAGCGCTGCCTAAACATAAGTTACATCATCATATACAGTGTTTCATATGACAATTCCTCATAAAGTCCATGCACTGTGAATAATTATAATCGTGACTTGTGCTGTGATCTTCTTATAAAAGTGCTGGAACAACACACACTGTGCTCCCCACCGGTGGTACCCCTCGCTCACTGACATGAATGGACTCTAGATTAGAGTCAAATGTGCTTAAGAAAAAATCCCAGAATAACTGGCACTTGTAGTCCTCCACGATGTGGATATATCCCTTTAATCACGTGGATGATCGTTACGGTGGCCAACAATTTAGGCACTCATAAGGAATAAAAAATATAGCCACATAGTATAATACCATTTATTAAAAATTCCAGATAAAAATATGTATTCCACTCACATAAGTAAAATAATGCCATGCATAGAGATAAACAAACCGGAAGTGGCGCATCAGCATGCGCTCCACGGAGAGGATACCACGTTACCACGGCTCTCATCATCTAACGCGTTTCCCCCCCCCCCCCCACTGGGCGTCCTTTTTATTCCTTATGAGCGCCTAAATTCTTGGCCACCATGTCCGATCATCCTCGTGATAAAAGGTATATATCCATATTGTGGAGGACTACAAGTTCCAGCTATTCCAGGATTTTTTTCCCACTAAGCGCATTTGACTCTAATCTAGAGTCCATACAAGTCGGTGAGCGAGGGGTACCACCGGTGGAGAGCACAGTGTGTGTTGTTCCAGCACTTTTATAAGAAGATTTCAGTATTAGTCATGAATATAATTATTCACAGTGCATGGACTTAGAGGAATTGTCATATGTATATGATGATGTAATTTATGTTTAGGCAGCGCTTAACTACTATGATTGTTCAAGGCTAAACGAAGCATTGTGAATGCAGTAGACTCTGCTTTCTAAAGTAACCAATCATTGGGAACGCATGAACTTTACAGAACCCAGAACTTTGCAGAACCAACCAACAAAAGGTAATCAATCCTTTCCTCTATGGCAGTGGTGTCCAAACTGTGGTTGGTTGACTGGATGCAGCCCTTTGCTTGCTTTTATCCTGCCCTTGGGGCACTATTAGACACTGTTTCTCTAACTGAAACCAACAATGTGGCACCATTCCTTTCACTGACACCAATGATGGGGAATAATTCCACCCACTGACACCAACAATGGGGTGTATTTCCTCCCAATAGTGCCAAGGATGGGGCACTATTTCTCCCATTAATACCAATGGTGGGGTGCTATTACCCCTTCTACTGACCTCAGGCACTATGTATTTTTTTTAATCACACATTAGTTCCCAATGATGCCATGGCATTTTTTTAACTTCCACTGGACATGATCTGGCCCCCCTAAAGTCTAAAAGACAGTAAACTGGCCCTTTGTTTAGAAAGTTTGGAGACCCCTGCCCTACAGGACCTGTATAAATAGAGATATTGCTGCAACTGTGAAGGTAGCCTTGCTACCAAAAAAAAAAATCTATTTCTCACTGGCATGCCTTCCTTTACCATTGCTCAAGAATTCCAAGTAAAAAACAATGAGGCACTATAATTTAAACATTTGATGGTTATGAATACAGGTTTATAGAGGAGGGAACACATGCTGCGTACCTACTTTTAGTTGTGGATTACACTTATGTGTTGCTGCCCTTTTTCTTTGTTTCACTGTAGCAGTACAATAGAAGCCAGTATCTGGATCTGATTTTTTTTATAATGAAAAATAAAGCTAATGTTCACAAAGGGAGCAGGCAGCTTTGAGACAAGCCCTATGGGGTTTGAAAAGAAGCAATGTGAATTGTAAGCCATGAAAGATAATTTGCAGGATCTGGTTGTGAAGAGGTTTTTGTATTCACTAGTAACCTACAGTACATGTTATATACAAATGTCATAAGTGCACAGCATAGAGTGATTCCTTTTGTGTCATAAGCACACAGCATACATCATTCCTTTCTTGTATTCTAGCTATGATCAGGATCAAATGCATGCACATCTGAATGTACGGAGAGAAAGGACATCATCTATACATCTAAACGTAGGACATAAAGGGTAAGGTGTGGTTTGCTTATCTATGCCTCTCTATGTCATTATTTTAAGATTTGGTGAGATTTTTTGGAGTTTCAAAAAGCATAGAAAGGCTATTTGTAAACACATTAGTGCTTAAAATAATATACTGTAAGTCTAGAAAAGTGATTTGACTGAAAGGGCAATATGCTAAAAATGATCAAATTAATTGGTACAAAACAAGGACCTCCAAAGAAGCAGGTATGGAAAGTTTTTCAAGGCAAGGATTACTGAACTATATAGAAGATTTGCTCTACTAGTTTAGTAGAGGTACCAGGAGGGTTGTATGCAACCTACCTCTTCTCTTATGGTTGGCAAGTAGGTTTTCAAACTGTCCCTGGTGAACTGGTTTAAGGAGTCTTGTGGAAGTATGTCCAGGTATCTAAATAGGTTTACAAAAACCTATGCTGCTTAAAAGAATCAACATACTATATCCAACTATACAACATATTTCCAGTGACATCTAAATGTATTAGGTCTCCTTCTCACTCCTCTCATGGGATCCCTAATGAGGGAGCAAAGATCTCCTTCATGGGAAACCCTAGCAAAGGAACAGTTTTAGAGGTACATTACTGACACAAACTATTATGTTCAATAATTTATTAATATACAAAATAATATATTAACAAATATAGTAAAAAATGTAACATATCTTTCCCATCTGACAGCACTGGACACTGGTGATTTGAGAAGTATAAAATTTTAAGTCCAGTCCTTGCTTCAGCAGGACATATACTAAAAGGGAAACGATACAGAGAAGATTAGCATGGCCCCTGTGCAAGGATGACATGCAAATTGTTGAAGTCTTCCATATTTTTTTAATGGTAAACCTTTATGGCTTGATTCTATTTGACTGGTTTGGCTTTGTGGGTCTCCAGCAGTGGCGAGTAGAGAAGCCATATGCTAGCGGGCAAAATATATTTTGATATGATGTCTGTTCGCTTGGGATGAGCTGAGGGCGCTGTGATTGTGAGAATTCTACTTGCCTTACTGGTTTTTGCCCTTACCTGCCTGCCCTATAAGTTACAAAACTCTGATTTCCCCCTTCTTGTTCTTCCTGTTCTTTTTTCCTTTTCCCTATCCCCCCTTCCTTTTTTTTTAATGAAAGCGACTGCCAGGTTTATTCAGGTTTGTGTAAAAAAAAGTACACACGATTACAATGCGCTTGTGTTGTGTTGTGTTTCAATAGAAGCGAATGTTACAGTTACAAATCATCAAAACCAGGACGTTGTGAGTCTGAGGATTCTAATTGCCTCACTGGTTTTTGCCCTTACTCTGCTTGCCCCATCAGTTACAAAACTCAGAATTTCCCCTTCTTGTTCTTCTTGTTCTTTTTTCCTTTTCCCTATCCCCCCATTCCTTTTTTTTAACAGAAGAGATTGCCAGGTTTATTCAGCTGTGTGTATGCTGTGGTTTCGATGTGCTTACACATGACATGTTTGCAGTGTCAACTGATGCCAGAGATGTGCATTCTACTGTTGATACCATTTGCTGTGTTCTATGTGATTTTGATGGTCCGTTTCTATATACCCCTCATTTTTTTTTTTTTGCCTTACTGTGTTTATGTTCATGCAGTATACATTCCTTAAACCTTAATAAAAATATATCAAGGAAAAAAAATATAAAAATCTTAAGTTCAGCACTGTGCAAAGCACCAGAAGCAAACTTATCGACCTCACAGTCACTACTATGAACCATCTACTATTCTTTACTCTTTCAGTAATTCCGACAGCACACTCAATAATGTAGTAAATGTACCTAAAGTTTACAGCAACCTTATAAAAACGTTCCTTAAACAAAGCATATAAAATGCTAAGATTTGGATAGTGCAATCAAAAGTTTGTTTTAATGAGATGCAGATGGATCAAACAGGATTAGAATGCCCTTGGGAATTTTAGGTGGGAACGATTATGGTCAAGTTTTATTGCTCCTAAGCTCATTCTTCCTGTATCTATCTTCAAAGAAATCTATAGATAGGAAATTTCCACCCTGTTGCACTTGTTTGCTTAACAGCGGAAAGTATGAAGTCTAGGAATGTGTAGTTCTAGTTATTGTTGAGTGTAAGTTATCATACTTTTGCTAGCAAGACATTCACCTATTATTATTTTTTTTTTTTGTAGGAACAAGCGAAATTCAAGGTATGAGCCCAATGTAATATGCAGCAAATATAGAATGTTTATAGATTAATTATTTTATATCTTACTTTGCTTCTTGACTTACATTTTAGCCCAGTCAAAGCAAACCAGTTTGAAGTCCATTTTAGCAAGCTTCAAGCAGACTCCAACTATTTGCTTTCTCAGGAATATGAGGTAAGTCCTCCAGACAGAAACTCTAAGCTGTCATTTGAAGTCACTGTGCACATGACAATTATTTGAAAATACATAAAAAGAGACATGCTATTTATTTATAATTTATTATGTTTATATTTAACAATTGATGTTTCAGTTACTCAACCATCTTATAAAAGAAAGAGTGAAAATGGCAAACAATAGAAGAATGTATATTTTCTATAGTTTCAAGAATGTCTCGTAGGTTGATGTGTGAAGCAAGGGCGGTGGAAGTTGCATTTGTTGAAGCAGGATCTGAAACAGGTCTAGCCATGCCCAGTATTCTGTTCCCATAGTGTGACTTGTAGTCAACACTACATCCCAGATTTCTCAACCTTTTCAACACAGAGGAACCCCTGAAATAACTTTCTGGTCACAGGGAACTCCTGGAAAAATTAATATGTCTAAAACTCATGATACAATAGTGTGATGGTCAGTGGGAAGGATGCTCCTAACACTTGTGTCATTGGAAAGAATTACACCCTTCCAGATAGCTAAAAAGATCAATGGTATGAGTAGAAATGTATCTGAGAGTCAGAAATTTCTCATTGCTCAAGGAACCCCTAGCAACCTCTGGAGGAACCCTGGTTGAGAAACCCTGCTATATCCAAACAGATAGTACAAAAAAACGCACAGAGGTTATTTACTTGAAGTAGAGCATGCAAAGTCTGGTGCAACTCTGCATAGAAACCAATCAGCTTCCAGGTTTTATTGTCAAAACTTAATTGAACAAGCTGAAGTTAGAAACTGATTGGCTACCATGCACAGCTGCACCGGATTCTGAGTGCTCCAGTTTTAGTAAATTCACCCCAAAGTATAACACATAGTGCAACATGGCCTAGCAGGAGGCATTCAGATACTTTCTGCAAAGAAACGGCTTTCCATTGCTCTCTGCTTCAGTGCTCAGATGTATTGAATAAACAAATGACAGTGTTACCAAATGGTGATTATTTTTTCCTTTTAAAATAGCATTCTTAGTAATCAGTACCACACACCGCTATGCAGCAACAAATCAATTAGATGTTAAATGTGTTTCATTGCTTTTGTCTATTCAGGACCTGAAAGATGTTGGTCGAAACCAATCTTTTGACATAGCACTTTTACCAGAGAACAGAGGGAAAAATCGATACAACAATATACTGCCTTGTAAGTATTTCTGGTGACCTGTAACGTCACTCTGCTGCATTTGGAATGGCATAAACATGTGCAGACATAGACACATACATTTGATTCTGTCATTTCTTTTGTTGATTACATATTTTTTAACACATATACAAAATTGATTGAGTCCATACTGTTATTCTGATTACTGATTTCACGGTGTAAAATGCGTGACATAATATTACAATTAATGTTATGACACTGTGTTGCAGTAATAGATCACATGTATAACAATGACAAAATAACTTTCATTAAAAAATGTGACTGTACATTACTGGTAATACTGTATATTCATATTTTAAAACCCTCCCCCAAAGTGAGCGGCAAAGACCAATAGAAGTCACACTGTTAATAACCTGCTGATCAGCTGTTGGTGAAAGGTCACTAAGCAGCTCTGAGCTCCTAAGCTTTTTTTTTCCAACATAGTGCAGTCTAAATTTGGAAACCTGCTGCTTTTAATGGACATGTTTGCAAGTGGTCCTTACAGTAATCTTAATTCAGGTTGTTACAATTTTAGTATGCTGTATATATTATCTTTATGTATTAAACAAAGGCATTACAAATACTGAAGAATTTTAAACTTGTGCTCTCAACCCGTCATAAAAAAAACTATGTTTTTTTCAATAGATGATTTTACAAGAGTAAAACTTTCCAATGTTGATGATGACCCATGCTCAGACTATATTAATGCCAGCTACACTCCAGTAAGTAGCACTTTCATTTTTTTCAGAAAACTGATTTGCCTCAACTGATATTGCCTTTACTTTTACATGATATGGTCAAGGTTTGTGAACACCCCTCCAAAGTATTGAGTGCAGATGTTTTTACTGAAGGATACTATTAACGTTATACCAAGGACATTTTAGGTATTCTGAATTTCAAACCCTGTGCCAAAAATCTTTGAAGGTCCTTTACATAACTGTGCACCTTGGTGGAGGACCTTTAGTGGCCTGCACATAGCCCTGACCTCAACCCTAATAAACATAAATGGGAAGAATAAAATATAATTGCATGGAAGCTCTTCTAGTCCAACATCATGAGTACTCAACATCAAAAATTCTCTCTTGACTGAATGGACATAAATTCATACAGTCAAACACCAAAAATCTTCTGACAAGCCTTCCAAGAAAAGTTGAGATAATACCTGTGAAAGGGGATCAAGCTATGGTTTTTGAATTGAATGTTAAACAAGTTCATATAGGTTTTATGGGCAGGTGTCCACAAACATTTGGCCATCTAGGATATTAAGGATATGCAATCTTATGTTTTTTATTTCCTAAACAACTCATTAATATATAGCTAGGCCCATTCTCTAAGCAAAGCAAGCCAACTGCCAAATAAGCAGAAACCTGAAAAAATGAGTGGACATGGCAAGCAACATAGATTTATTATCTGATTTGAAGGATTACTATGTGCATAGTTTTAGATTTGATATCTAGGGTGAGGCCTGGAGCAAGAGTCTTGATAACATTCTGAGTTCCCTGCTCCCCACAAGAATGGTGGTCAGCAGACCATACTATGCACTGGGCATGGACTGTCTCATTTCTCCACACCTGCCTCTTGGGTAATGCTCCTTTAAAGAGGAACTGAAGTTATTTTTATAATACTTGGGAGCAGGCAGGGTCTTTAATGCAGATAAGATAGTTGATGTCTCATCTGCAATAAAAGAAATGTAACTGTCTGCTTGCAGTATTCACTGGCATGTAAACTGAGCTGTGCATGTGCAGCTCAGCGTACTTTGTTGGCAAGGTCCCAGCATGTCTGATTTCTGTGCATGGTTGTTATGTCATCCTGCACTGGCCAGTGAAGAGGACTGAATAATGGCACTCTGGGAAATGCCAGCAAGGGATACTTGGTGAATTTGGGATGTTACAGAGGAGGTAAGTATACTGACTTTAGTTCTGCCTCAAATACACATTTTCTCTGCTCCTCCACACTCATGTTTCCTTTGTTCTTATTTATTCACCAGATACGTCTACCAATTTTCCAGCCTTTTCAATACATTCCATAGTTTAGATTATTTTATTTGTTTAGATTAGCTAGTAGTTAGTCATATTCAAGGGGCTTCTTCAGTTTTAATAAGTGTCAAGCACATACTCAGCAGTTCTATCCACACAGGTAGCACAGTGACCTTAATTCATTCACCATAGAAGACATCAAGGTAGATGTTGGTTCCAACTACAGGATGGGAGTTGTGAAAGTTGTGGAGCCACCCTATTCTAATTATATAATCCCCTGGTGTCAGGAAGTGTATGTATTAATCATTCAATTTACATGGCTGAAGATGTGAATTTTGTCAAATCTCCAGGGTAGAGATGTTAAAATATAGTTATTTGGATGGTGTTGAAGGCCTCCACCCAATTTAGGGATGATTGTTCCAGTCTGACATAGATAGCTTTTCTCATGGCTCTTGCGAACCAGTTGTTCTCCCTATCAAAAATGTGTCCTTGAAAGAATGTCCCTTTTCCTTAAAATGGTTAAAAACCTCTACATATAACCACAAAAGTGACTGGCCACAGAGATAAAACAAATCATCCTGCATAACTTGTACCTGTTTATCTTCAGCCCTCTGTCATGTACAGCCTTCTACAACACACAGAATCTTTCCGCAAGGGAGAAGAACTCTGAGCCCTGATTGGAAGGAAGGGACATACCCTCTCCTCACACTACAAGGAGAACATGCACAGCTGTGTCTGTCAATCACAGTCTGTGTGCTGGAGCTTTCCTCCCTGTCACCTTTTTTTGTCCTGGTTTCAGGGAAAAGCTTTCAGAAATGATTCATACAGATAACATAAAAACAAGGCAGCAAAAAGAAATCACATTTACAGATTTGGATAGAGACAAGTACCAGGTATAGAAGGACATGCTTTGTTCAGATTTCATGTCTCAGTTTAACCACCACTTTAAGGCTTAGGAAAGCTGTTAAATTGTGACTTGTATAATTTGCCCTCCTATGGCGGCCATTCATTTTTGAAGAGGTTGTCTTGTCCCCAAATTACAGTTTGTTGCATCCCTCACTACACTGCATGACATGTACCAAGTTACTTTGCTTGTGTTTAGTGTTGGGTCATTTGGATGCACAAGCTTCTGTTTCAGTGTATTGTTGGGTTGGAAAGACATAGGGATGGAATATTTGTTATAACTCCTTCTGAAGTATTCTGACCTTCCAGTTACACATGAGATGAGTATGATGGTGACAACAATTTATGCCTTCAACCATGTAAATTGAACGATTAACACCTACAGTTGCAAGAAAAATTATGTGAACCCCTTGGGATTACGTGGAGTTTTGCATGAAATGGGCATAAAATGTGCTCTGAACGTCATCTATGTCACAACAATAGAAGAACACAGTCTGCTGAACATAATACTAACACAAACATTAGATGTTGCCATGGTTTAATTGCACATAACATGTAAACATTCACAGTGCAGGGAGGAAAAAGTATGTGAGGCCCTAGCTTAATGACTTCTCCCAGAGCTAATTGGAGCCAGGAGTGAGCCAACCTTGACTCCAATCAGTGTGATGATATTGGATGTGTTGCTGACAGCTGTCCTGCCCTTAAAAAACACACACCTGTTTTGGGTTTTCTGGTTTCAAGAAGCACTGTCTGATGTGAACCATGCCTCGCAGAAAAGAGCTCTCAGAAGACCTACGATCAAGAATTGTTGACTTGCATGAAGCTGGAAAGGGTTACAAAAGTATCTCCAAAAGCCTTGATGTTCATGTGTCCATGGTAAGACAGACTGTCTACAAATGGAGAAAGTTTAGCACTGTTGCTACTCTCCCTAGGCGTGGTCGTCCTGTAAAAATGACTGCAAGAGCACAGCGCAGAATGCTGCATGAGTAAAGAAGAATCCCAGAGTGTCAGCTAAAGACCTACAGAAATCTCTGGCACATGCTAACATTTTTGTTGATACATCTACAATAAGGAAAACATTAAACAAGAATGGAGTACATGGGAGGACACCACGGAGGAAGCCATTGCTGTCCAAAAAGAATATTGCAGCACGTTTGAAGTTTGCAAAGGAGCACCTGGATGTTCCACAGCACTACTGGCAAAATATACTGTGGACAGATGAAACCAAGATTGAGTTGTTTGGGAAGAACACACAACACTATGTGTGGAGAAAAAAAGGCACAGCACACCAACATCAAAACCTCATCCCCACTGTAAAACATGGCGGAGGGAGCATCATGGTTTGGGGCTGCTTTGCTGCCTCAGGGCCTGGCCAGATTGTTGTCATTGATGGGAAAATTAATTCCAGAGTTTATCAAGACATTTTGCAGGAAAACGTACGACCATCTGTCCGCCAACTGAAGCTCCGCAGAGGATGGGTGATGCAACAGGACAATGACCCAAAGCATACAAGTAATTCAACAAAACAATGGCTGCAACAGCACAGAATATGCCTTCTGGAGTGGCCCAGTCACAGTCCTGACCTCAACCCGATTGAAATGCTGTGGCATGACCTTAAGAGAGCGATTCACACCAGAAATCCCAAGATTATTGCAACACTGAAACAGTTTTGTGAAGAGGAGTGGTCCAAAATTACTCCAGATCGTTGTGCAGGTCTGATCTGCAACTACAGGAAACGTTTAGTTGGGGTTATTGCTGCCAAAGGAGGGTCAACCAGTTATTAAGTCCAAAGGTTCACATACTTTTTCCTCCCTGCACTGTGAATGTTTACATGTTATGTGCAATTAAACCATGGCAACATCTAATGTTTGTGTAGTATTATGTTCAGCAGACTGTGTTCTTCTATTGTTGTGACTTAGATGACGTTCAGAGCACATTTTATGCCCAATTCATGCAAAACTCCACGTAATCCCAAGGGGTTCACATACTATTTCTTGCAACTGTATGCAGACTTCCTAACACAAAGGTATGGGATTATGTAATTAGAACATGGGGGATCACAACTTTCACAACTCCCATCCTATTCTTGGACAACAAACATCTGCCTTTACACATTGTGACTGGGTGACTGTGCTACCTGCTGTGATACGTTTTCAAAATTACAGGAACAAGTCCAGATGAATGTGATTAACTACTACTAGCTATACCATGACCTAGATGAATGAGACATTCACATACATTTCTTAAGATTGTTATACAGTAGCTATACATATGTCAACTAATTCTTGTTTAACTTACAATAGCGCTACAGTGTAATTTTCCTTAATGAGTACACACATTACATAGATTACTGCATTTATAAACATATGTTATTCTTCTTGTGCTTTTCTCTCTTAGTTTGAATGCTTATTTGATTTTCATAAAAGCTTTGCTGCTTTCATTGTACTTTATGTTTTATGAATTGTTCACCGCTCAGTTTATATTTTCAGATATAAATCTGTGACTTTAGGAGAAATAGTTATTTCACTTACCATCAGAAGGACCACCTAAGATATTTATAAGGGGAATATAACTGATTAAATTATTCAGTATGGTGCTTATTTTGCTTGTGATTAATGTACAGTATGACATTGTAGCTGTTTATTACTGAGATGTGTTGGCCCTTGATGTTTATTATACAGGACTCTCTCTCTCCTCTATCTCTCTCTCTCTCTCTCTCTCTCTCTCTCTCTCTCTCTCTCTCTCTCTCTCTCTCTCATATGTTATCTCATGAAGCATTATTATGTTAACCCTGTGAATAGCATGCCTGACCACTTGATTTAACTGTGCAGTCTTTCCATTTATATGAAAAGTCGAGGATAAGTGTCATGCTAATTGCTAGATGCTAAATGCTAATTGTCTGGCCGTCCTGCAGACCCTCCTGCTTTAGTAATTTGTGCTTGATTTTAAGTAGTAGATGATTTTCACTTTGCAAAGTAAATGTTCATTTGGCTTAGTGAATAAAGCGAATTTCCATTCACCGCAATCATGCAACAAAGATGTTTTTTTTTATTTCTTTTGCTCATGAGGCATTCACATTGGGTGTTCAAAGTGAATCTAACTTTATCTTCTCACCAAGTGCAGACCCTCCAACATGACCCATTCCAGTATGTACACAAAACTCTGCTTGTGATCTTTTCTCTTCCTTTCTGATTACATTTACCTGAGCTAAGGCTTTGCTTATATGTCATAAGAGTGTCATCAGAGGGTAGAACAATGATCAGGAGCAGAGACTGTGTAGGTGAACATTCACCTTCCTACTTTGATATTATAATCCCTTTAAGTCACTGATCTGGAAGTTTATCCAACTTTTCTTGTCTGCATACCCATTCTGGCCAGGTGATTCAATGGGGTTGGTTTACTAAATGAAAAAGTTTACTTTGCAAGGGAATTTTCCCTTAGCTTAGCAACTTAAGTGAAGTTCTGCTGGCTTCTAACATCTAACTTCTTTTTTTTTTTAATTTTCCTTGCACATCATTGGGTATTCCTTGCAAAGGGAATTTTCAACACAATCACTAAACTAAGGGAAAATTCCCTTGAAAATTGAACAGCATATTTGTCTTTTGGAATTCAACCCCAGTGCAATAAAGGCAGCTCTATCAGCCCCCTGCCATTAATTTTTCTAATAGCATTTCAAAGTAGCAGACTAAGTGGAAATATTATATTGCCTTCACCCTCTCTACAGACACGTAGACTGTAGTTCCACAAGCATAAAATGAATGAGGTTTACTGTATGATGCTTCAAGGCGCTGCAATATGTTACAGAGCAGGATAATTTATTATATGCATTGATTGCATTATGTATAAATTAAATACCATTCACTAAAATGATCAGCACTAAACTTACTTCAAAAAGACTGCACATAAAATAGACTTATAATGTCTTATATTTCATGTTGCCATTCTTGTAATAGAAAAGTTTAATTTGTTCTTTGTAGGGTAATAACTTCCGCAGAGAATATATTGCTACACAAGGGCCTCTTCCTGGTACCAAAGATGATTTCTGGAAAATGGTTTGGGAACAAAATGTCCATAACACTGTAATGGTGACACAGTGTGTCGAAAAAGGACGGGTAAGTGGAAGATTCCATTTCTATCCAAATTTAACTCAAACAATTTTATTAGTTAAAGCCTTTTTTTTGTTTTGTTTTGCTTTTTTATAGCGTGGGAGAAGAGTTAATATTTCTGTCAGTTGTTTTTTGTCACTTAATCCATAAGGGCCCATTCACAAAAGTTGTGTGGTGTGGTGCCATTCTTATAACATTCATTGTGCTAGGGGAGCCCATTCAATTAAAATGGTCTGCCTATAACCACTATGGATCAAAAATCAGACCTTCTGTCTCTCTTTTGGATGATACTGCTTTTCTACACTGCTATGAAAGTGTAAAGGTGCTGTTACATGGGCCTTACTGTAATTCAGTGGTGTGAAGGGACACTTGGGAAGATGTGTCTTCATTTCCTGGCCCGTTGATGCCTTTAAATAAGGGGAAGGGTTGTCTCTAGGAAAGAAAGACACAAACAACAACAAAATAATTCCTAATCCTTCTCCACTCTACCTAAAATGAGTTTTAATCTGTGTCTGCATTGGAAAGATTTTCCTTCATTTCATTTACTAACATGACGTGAGGCTAAATTACCCTGATAAGGGCACAAACAACAATAAAAAACTGATAGAGGCTCTAACCTTACCCTGCTCCAAAACGGAATAAAATGTTTTGGTTGCAGTTGTGCTTTACAAAAAGTGCCAATTCTTAAAGTGATAAAGGTAATAAAATAAAAAATGTCATATATATCCGCTCTGTGCAGTGGTTTTGCAGTGGCTTTGCACAGAACAGCCCTGATTCTCATGCACCCTCCAGCACTCCTGGCCCTTCTCTCCTAGCATAGCAGCTTGCTATGGGGGGCAACCAAGCAGGCTCACTCCTGAGCTGTTGCTCTGTGTGTCTATTCACACAAAAAGCTGTGGCTTGGCCCCACCCCCTCTCTCTCTCCTCATTGGCTCACTGGCTGTGATTGACAGCAGAGGGAGGTGATATCTCAGCCAATGAGGAGGAAGAATCCCTGGAGAGCCATGGCTCTTGTGAACATTGCTGGATTGCGATGGGACTTAGGTAATTGATAGGGGAGCTGCAGACAGAAGGTTTTTTACCGTCATGCATTGGATGCCTGAAGGTAAAACACCTTGAGCCTTTACAACCACGTTAATTACAACTAACTAAGCAGAATACCCACTGCTGAAGTCAGACTGGCACATGATGAAATCTGGTTATTTATGGCTACTGTACTTAAAGCAGAACTAAGCTTTCCTATCCTTTATAGTCAAGGAAGCTGCCATCTTAGCCTCTGTTTGATCTGCAGTTGCCATTATACTGCACATATGATCAGCTATGACACCAGTCATTTGATGGTTTGACAGTTTGGTTGAAAGCCGACATAACAATACTAGTAACTGTAACAGTTATAATTCAAGGCATGCCATGAAAGTAACTGTTCTGGGTTTAGGTAAGAATAAACTATCGAACAATGCTGTATATGCACAGCTGTTTACCGTTCAATGGATAGCACACAAAAAAGGGCAAGATCTTTTCTGACAGCCTAGAGAATATTTCTAATACTAATAAGACAGTATAATTATCTGATTAGCAAAATAATATCAGAATTTCATATGTAAAAATATTCACTGCGTCTAACTTCTCTTCATTAAACCTAATGATTCCTTCTAAACCTATTATGTGGACCATGCATTGAAGACATTGTTGATGAGTAGTAAAGAATAAGCCTTTTACCAGTAATTGTGATGCTTCAGGAGTAGTACTGCAGGAATAATGATAGAAGCACTGCAGAAGTAAGGCTAGGTACACATGTACAGTTTTTTTCATTCAAGCAATATTAGTGCAGTGATCTCCCCTGCTGTGCCTTTGTGTTCTGAGAGTAGGATCACAGACTTGCCAGAACACACTTATCAGCGCTTGCAAGCTCTAATCGGATGCTGGTTTTCCAGCATGTACCCTTGACAAAAGCTGGTCATTAGACCAGCTTCTGTAGGACAGGCTGCTGTACGAATATTATCCGGTTTTTGTTGAATTGGCTGATAATGATCAATATTTTGCCTGTACCCAGCATAAAGATGGTGGTGCACTAGAGGTACTAGCTTGGTAAATGATCACACTGAATACATCTTTTATTAAGCCTATTAAATCTGTGTCACTGGAGATACTATGTTAGGGAGTATTGTGTAGTAAAACATGTAAAGCCTGGAGATCAGTGAACCTCCTGCTGATTGGAAATTGAACTAAAAAAAAAAAAGTGGAGTTCCACCTGAAAAAAAAAATAAAAGTCAGCAGCTACAAAAACTGTAGCTGCTGACTTTTAAAATGCAGACACTTACCTGTCCCTCAGTCCAACGGTATCCTCACCATCGCTGGTTTCACTGGCCGTCTTCTCTCCCTGGTGCCGGCATGTTCAGTGTGGGCACCTGGCTGTGACAGCTTGCGGCTTCACAGCCGAGTGCCCACTGCGCATGTGTGGTTTTCTGGGACCTATCACATCTTCCCTTCTCCCCAAAGGTGCCAATCCTTAATGGGGAGCGGGGGACAAAGGCTTAAAGCTTAACTTCCCCTTTTCGGTGGAGCTCCGCTTTAAGTTAGCCTTTATAGGACACCATCTAAACTCCAAACTTTCACATTCACATGTTAGATGGTTATGGAGTTACAGTATCTACAAATGTTTTGCTAGTTTTACTTTGTCTTAATGACCTTTACTATGCCATGACCTTGTGAGGATTCCTTTTACTTCATCTTGACCGATATGTATTTCTATACACTTCATGGCAATTGACATGTACTCTTACAGTTATACTCTGTACTGTTTGAAAACAGAATAAAACAGTTTAAACATAAACTCCAAACTTTCTTCATTTATCAATGATAACTCAGTACAACACTCTACTACTGCTAAATTACACCAGGACAAGCCTAAAACTATCATCTCTTAGGCCCCTTGCACAAGGAGCCATCCAGCTTTACTGCATCCCTCCTGGCAATGTAATGCAACCAGGAGGGACAGACACAGTGTCCAGCCCTGCTGCAAGCAGTCTGTCAAAGCCCATGACAGCCCATGGGCAGCACAGTGACTAAATGGTTAGCACCTCAACCTGGCAGTACTAGGGTCGTTGGTTCGAATCCCAACCACAGCACCACCTGCCTGAAATTTGCATGTTCTCCCTGTGCCTGCATGGGTTTCCTCCAGGACCTCCAGTTTCCTCCCACACTCCAAAGACATGCTGGTAGGTTAATTGGCTCCTGTCTAAATTGGCCCTAGCACATATTTGAATGAATGTAAGTTAGGGACCTTAGATCGTATGCCCCTTGAGGGTTAGGGATTGATGTGAATGTACAATGTAAAGCGCTATGTAAATTGACAGCACTATAGAAGTACCTGAAATAAATAAATAAATAATACAATGACAGGCTGCAGCTCGGTAAAGTTGAATGCTGTACGGAGTGGTACCAGCATTTAGGGCCCTAGCTATTCCTCGACAAGGTTCCGGCACACAGAAGATCTGTATTCCCGGAACCTGACCCCTGAACAATACAGATCCCTTTACACCCTTACCACTTGCTTCAGCATGCAGCCCCATAGGCTTTGACAGCCTGCCTGCAGCTGAGTTGGAAACTGCACCTGTCCATCCTGGGTGCACTAAAATTCCGAGAGGGACACACTGCAGATAGACGTCTCTGTGTGCAAGATTTATATAACAATAACGATCATTGCTTCAGAGTATTATGAGCAACATAATGCCTTTTACTCTAAAATCACACTGTAGTTTATCTGTATGTTTTTCGAGAAATTGATTTGTGGTCCATCTAAGGATTTGTTCTATTGTTCCCCATTGTTAGTACACTGAAACGGTCCACACATTGCAATTGTAACACAAGATTAAGAAATATAATTAAGGCATTGTTAAATCACTGAATTATTTTCCAGGAAGCAAAAATTTCTTTAATTATGGGTGCACGTGAATATTAAAATTGTAAGCATTAGTATTTCCAACAGCCTGTCCAAGCAAACATTTATATTGATATTGTAAGCAGAGTTTTGTATTGTGCTGTGTTCTTTTCCTTTCCCTGTAAACAGAGCTCTACAGAGAGTTTGCATGGAGATCTAGAGAAGAAAATGTTCACATGACCTGCCACTAAACTAGAGGCTGATTTAATGCATTCATAATACAGGCGTCCTATGGAGCTATAATACACCACTAGGGTCAACAGGCTCAGGAAGGTTTCATTAAGTGCTGAGGAAAGAAAGCAAAGACGTGAAGGAAATAAATTGCAAGCATAAATATTAGCACTGTCAGTGTGGTAAACATAACGAGTAAAAATAATAAATAAATTCCAGCAAAGGAAACTTTTTCCACTTAGCAGATGTCACAGTAATTCAACACAGATAAACAAGATGCTTTCATTAAAATAATATAGCCCTTTGAGATTGTAGATTGTTTTGCTGCTCTGTATTGTCTCAGTAGCTATCCAGTTATGAGAAGCTCAGTGGCATATCATGGGGATGTTAATAAGAGATAAATCCACAAAATAAAAAAACAGCATTCCCAGGAATCATAAAAATAAGTCTACTTTTAACATTAAAAATAAGTATCAGTCCAAAATAATTTATCATGTATCTTTAGTTGGCAAGTAGAAAGGAACGATAAAAAAATGGCATTTTAAAGGTCATGTTAACCTTTGAAAAATTGTTCACTGCATATTATACAAGAAAGCAGAGGAATACTTTTCAGAATTGTTTAAATAACTTTGATTTGTTTGCTTCTCTTGGTTTTCTTATTAATGCACTTAAGATAATTAGTGGCATTTATCTAACGAATCTAATTAAAACCATTTTGCAAGCAGTCAGGGTTCATGTTAGTAGTCCTGTATTTTCAATGCAAATGTATAAACTGTAGTGATTTATACTAATATGAGACTTAGACATTCACAGTGTCACTGCAAACAAATATAATACAGTATGTCTTCCAAGAAGTTCAAGCCAGTATGGTTGCAAACAACTGCCCAATACAAGTGCTATGATTTGCTTTGGTGGCATGGAAGGGTAGATGTCTCTTTGAGATTGTCAGATGCCCAGATATCTGCTAATCTTTAAATGTATCACACCACTGGAAACTACCCCAGTCTTCTGGCCAACACTACTTTGAAGAGTCAGAGGTATAACACCAGCAGGGGTGGACTGACCATTCGAGCACTTGGGCACTGCCCAAGGGCCCGGGGTCAGTAGGGGGCCCCATGAAATGCCCCTGGTACCTTTTATAGGCTTTTTTTGAGTGTGGGCAAGGACACAGGGGCCCCACGATCCCCTATTGCCCGGGGGGCCCATGAGTTGTCAGTCCGCCCCTGAACACCAGTGATCTTTTTAGCTCTTGGTAAGGGAGGAATTCCAACCACTGGTGTAGGGATTGCATTTTAGTAGGGATTCCTCAAGACCTGATTTTTTTCAAGGTTTCTTCTAGGGTAAAAAGGTGGGAAAAGGGTGCTTTAGAGCTTTGATTTTGTTGCTAGTGGAAAAGGGAATGATCAGCTACAGCTGTGGGATATTTGTAAACATGTTGGGCGCAGGCAGTAATTTAAAGTTCAAAATTGTTGTTTTCAAAGGTTTGAGAAAACATAAAGGGATCAATATACCACCCATTCAGCTACAGCTTTTATGGGGTATGTTATAATGGCACCCATCCATGCAGAGTGTCATCATTTACTAGAATCCAGCAGCAACTTACACTTCAGTGGGAAAGTTAAAACAAAACAGCAAGCTTTATGATACCTATAATTCCTGGAATTTCTGTCAAAGATTACTTCTAATCCACAGTCTGAAAGGTTGCATACAAACAGCTTATTTGGTAAGGTGCAAAAATCAATGATAACATGATCTGTAGAAATATATAAGTATCCATATGTGATGTCCAAAGGACCACTGGGGATGCTAAAAATCAAAGTAGTATTCCACATTACATACAGTAATAGCTGTGATCGTCTGGGTTCTGCTTCAGTGGATTTTCCTCTGAACACGGACTGTAAAGGGTCACTTTGCACTTCCACCTTTTAGAGAACTCCTTGTATTATTTTCAATAAATACAAGGCATTTTCTGATTTAGCTAGGTTAGATAATGACATCATCCGCCCCTCCTCTCCACATGGTCCAATCAGAGATTAATTTGTATTCCATACATTACATATGGATTATCTGGGTTACCTCAAAGACATCAAGCAGGATCCAACGTTTGAACTTGTGTGTGATTTTCAAGTTATCAATGTACTTTGATATATATGTTATTTTCATTTGGAATCAAGTGCCTTGAGGGAACATGGTGTCAGTGATTTTCAGCTGCTACAGTGATTTTCAGCATTCCCATTGGCCCTACAGTTATCAGATGTGGATAATTACAGTATTATGAGTCAAGCTGGACCAATGACAGTAATTAAAAAGATCATTATTGGAGTTCTGCTTCAATCCAATAGTTTTGTTGTTTTGATTGGTTGCCACAGGTTGCTGCACTTTTTACATCATTATTGCCTATTACTCATCACTAAAAAGAAAAGGCGTGTTTAAGATTTGACATGAGTTGGCATCTTTGCCAAACTGTAAGTTAAGTTTTCAGAAGACTTGCCATTGGAGAGAAATGCAATTAAATAAAAGACTCTCATAAATAACACACTCACAGTCCTGAAATTGTAGATGTACATTTTTTATTACTGAAAGTTTCTTTTCAGTTTGTCAAGCGAGCTGAGTATTCTAGAGTTGGGAAAATGGAACAGCCAGAGACAGAAAACAGTAAAACTGCATTGCAGTATCTTGATTATATTGGCATTCTTTTTTTGTGTTATACTGTACCCTGTGCTTTCTACTATATTAATGTATTATTGGTTTTATGGAGCTTCAATTATCAGTAAACAAATATATAAAATTACTGCAGTATTTCTTACATTTTGCAAAGAAGATTGCCTAAAGAATGTTTTTTTTTAGAGCTTTTGTTATATAAAAATTCCAGGTATCGCTTGTTTACATGCACTATATTGCCAACATGCACTAGATTGGGATGCCTGCCTTTACACAAACATGAACTTTAATCACATCCCAATCTCAGTCTGTAGGGTTCAATATTGAGTTGGCCCACCCTTTGCAGCTATAACAGCTTTAATTCTTCTGGGAAGGCTGTCCACAAGGTTTAGAAGTGTGTCTATGGGAATGTTTGACCATTCTTCCAGAAGTGCATTTGTGAGGTCAGGCACTAAAGGCGGCCAAGAAGGCCTGGCTCACAGTCTCCGCTCTAATTCATCCCAAAGGTGTTGAGGTCAGGACGAGTTGTGCAGGCTGGTCAAGTTCCTCCACCTCAAACTCGCTCATCCATGTCTTTATGGACCTTGCTTTGTGCACTGGTGCGCAGTCATGTTGAAAAAGGAAGGGGCAATCCCCAAACTGTTCCCACAAAGTAGGGAGCATGAAATTGTCCAAAATGTCTTTTTATGCTGGCGTCTGAAGTGTTCCCTTCACTGGAACTAAGGGGCCAAGCCATCCCTGATAAACAACCCCACACTATAATCCCCCCTCCACCAAAATTTATGCTTGGCACAATGCAGTCAGGCAAGTACCATTCTCCTGGCAACTGCCAAACCCAGACACATCCATCAGATTGCCAGACAGAGAAGTGTGATCTGTCACTCCAGAGTACACGTCTTCACTGCTCTAGAGTCAAGTGGTGGAGTGTTTTACACCTCTTCATCTGATGCTTTGCATTGCACTTGGTGATGTAAGGCGTGTATGCAGCTGCTTGGCTATGGAAACCCATTCCATGAAGCTCTCTATGCATTGTTGTTGTGCTAATCTGAAGGCCACATGAAGTTTGGAAGTCTTTAGCTATTGATTCTGCAGACAGCTGGCAACTTCTGTGCGCTCTGCGCTTCAGCATGCGCTGACCCTGCTCTGCCATTTTACTCTGTAGCTGAGTTGCTGTTGTTCCCAGTTGCTTCCTCTTTGCTATAATACCACTAACAGTTGACTGTGGAATATTTAGTAGCAAGGAAATTTCACGGATAAACTTATTGTACAGATGGCAGCCTAACACGGTACCAAGCTTGGATTCACTGAGCTCCTGAGAGCGACCCATTCTTTCACACACGTTTGTAGAAGCAGTCTGCATGCCTAGGTGCTTTATTTTATACACCTGTGGCCATAGAGGTGATTGCAACACCTGAATCCATTGATTTGGAGGGGTGTCCCAATACTTTTGGCAATATAATGTAGTTACATTAGTCCAGCTTGGACCAATGTAGCTATGTATTTACCATATCTGTGGGATCACTCTAGAAGCTGGAAATTACTGTAGTAGACAATGCTACTCCAGTGATATCCACTGGTTTCCAGGACCCCAACCAAGTGGCTGCTCTGTTGCATTGTGAACACAGGGGGTTGGCTATTTAGCGCAGGTGCCATTCAGAGAATGCTTTGCTGACCTCGAACACAGGACCTGGAAACTAATGGAGATCACTGGAGTAGTGGTGCTTAGTTCAATGATTTTTCAACCTCTAGAGGGATTCCACAGGTATGGTATATGCATAGCTATATCGGTTACTGTTAAGGTTTACATACACTTTAATTTGATATTACAGGGAGACAATGAACATCCTGCGCAGCAGAATAACTGTGATGATGTTTCCTTCTACCTAAATGTCTAATAACATAGATGTATTGGCTATTTAGAATTGTTAATAATACAATAAAAAATACATACATTTCGTATAGGTATGAATATACTTATATGCGTTTATGAAAAGTATCACTAACTTTTTAACATACTGAGAATAGATATTTCATCTTAAAGCGAAGCTCCAAAAGGGGAAATTCTGCTTTAAGACATCCACCCCCTTCTTCTGCCTAAGTTGGCATGTAATTTTGGAGGAGAGGGAAGCAGGTACCTAGTTTTGACTAATACCCACTCCCCCTCCCTCCCTACATTCTTCTGGGACATGTGACAGGTCCCAGAAGACTACAGAACCATTCACAAAGAGCAGCACGCCTCGCACATGCACAGTGGGCATCCAGCTGTGAAGCCAAAAGCTACACAGCTAGCTGCCAACAGTTAGGATGCCTGTGCCGGGAACCCGGAGGCTAGTGAAGAACTAGCCCGGGTGAGGATGCGCTAGATCCTGGGACAGGTAGGTTTCCTATTATTAAAAGTCAGCAGCTACAGTATTTGTACTGCTGACTTTTAATTTTTTTTTACACACTGAACCTCTGCTTTAAACTTAGGATTGCATGACTATGGCACTACTCCATGTAATAATCTTTGTTATACATTGACACTATTGTTGAACAATGCCATTACTTTGTAAAACACACATATGCGACCAGCTAAATTATTATTTTCTCTCTACAGGTAAAATGTGATCATTACTGGCCTTTTGATCAAGATTCCTTGTATTATGGAGACCTCATAGTTCAAATGTTGTCAGAGTCTGTGTTACCCGAGTGGACAATAAGAGAATTCAAAATTTGCAGTGTAAGATGTTTTCCCTCATATTGAGATTAAATACTGTGAAAGTTTCTGTGGCTGCTCAGTCTCATTTATCAAGGACTTGAAATCGATGCCGGAATACACAATATGTAATTCTTATTTTGCAAAACTTTTTTATAATTGATGATCTGTGCCTGTGGCTGCAACAAGGGTGGACCTAATATTTAGCAAAAGGTCAGGCTGCTAATTTTCTGAAATACAAAATCCACTCCAGGACTTACTAAAAAAAGATTGATTGATGGAGTGGCAGCCATGTTTGCAGTGTGGCATTTAACTGTGTCAAGATGACTGTGCCTAAAGGAAAGTTATAGCTGACAAACAAGCTGCTGTTATGACAAATTATATATTGCAGCAATCACAAATGATGTGGCAGTACTGAAACCTTTGCAGATACAATTGAAATTCAGCTCTCCCAAATGTAGACACACTGTTTAAATATATCCATCTTCTACACAAACCAGTATACCATGTATTGTATTGTTTTGTATTTAGTAAGGTGTCATTTCCATAAACCCCCAGAGCTAATAAAGCTAGGGTAACTGTAAAAAAAACTACAGTTTCTCTCATCATTAGTCTTTTAAACTAGACACAATGAAGGGGCGGATCCATCACCTCTCAGTCACCTTCCACCTGTAATTTATTTTATGGATGAAAACAAAACAAAGACCAATTTTGAGATAAATACGATCAATATGTATCCACTTTGAACTTCTCGATTATGGGCCTTCAACCCAGCTTAGACGTGAAGGTTGCCGCTCTCAGTGGTTACCCAACTTCCATTATTACCCTTCCCTACCCTTATTGCATACTCTCTATGTTTAGATCCTTCTCCACTTAGCTTCTTACTGAGTATGTTCTCCTTGGTCACAGAATACCTGAACACACACGCCTACTTACTTACCTTTATCTCAACCATATACCCTTTATAGAAATCAATGCACAGTGTGGGCCTCTACCGAACCACTTTCATCATTTTAACAAGGTTGTTGAAGTCCTTCCCCAATGGCTATGTATACCATTGATTACCTGTTATCTGTGCTAAAATTCCATTTTTTCTGTACTGTATTTTGTTTTGTATGGAAATTGTTTATTAAATGTTTACTACATAAAAAATAAAACAAATATATACATGTGGTTGCTATTGGCAAAAATAGTCCTGATTTTTGCCCTCCAGTGTTCACAAATAGCACATATTTGTAGGTCATAATAAATGCAGACCTTATGCTGCTTAGTTACTAAATCAAAGAAATAGCTATATTAATAGTTAGTCTGATTCAGCTGGAATTGTCCTGTAATGTTGAAGACATTCCACAGCTTATCTAAGCCATTTTTTAAGTTCCAATGAGTGTCAGAAAGATACAGCTGTGCCCAAAAGTTTGCATACCCTTGGTAATATACAGTATGTACCATTTTTAAAGAGAAAACATGAGTGAGCAGGGAAAACACATTTATTTAATTTCTAATGGGGTTTATATTCAACTGTAGGTTTTAACAGAATGGTCAACAATAAAACAAAACATGGCAATAAGTAAACAAATGAAATGACCCCTGTTCAAAAGTCTGCATACCTTTAGTTTTAGGTATTGCCCCCTTTAGCATCAATGACAGCATGCAGTCTTTTGTCTATGAGGCCATGAATTCTTGCAGGTTATATAGCTACCCATTCATCTTGGCAAAATGCTTCCAGGTCTTGCAAGGTTATCGGTCGCCTTGCATGAACTGCGCGCTTGAGATATCTCCAGAATGGCTTGATCATAGTAAGGTTAGGAGACTGAGATGGCCACTCCAGAACCTTCCCCTTTTTGTGCTATAACCACTGGAGGGTCAACTTGGCATTGTCGTGCTGGAAAGTCCAAAAGTGTCCCATGCGCAGCTTTTGAGTAGCAGAATGCAAAATGCTTCCAGGTCTTGCAAGGTTATCGGTCGCCATGCATGAACTGCGCGCTTGAGATATCTCCAGAATGGCTTGATCATAGTAAGGTTAGGAGACTGAGATGGCCACTCCAGAACCTTCCCCTTTTTGTGCTATAACCACTGGAGGGTCAACTTGGCATTGTCGTGCTGGAAAGTCCAAAAGTGTCCCATGCGCAGCTTTTGAGTAGCAGAATGCAAATTGTCTGCCAATATTTTCTGATAATATTCTGCATTCATCTCACTCTCAATTTTCACAAAATTACCCATGTCTTTAGAGCTCAAACACCCTCAAAACATCAGTCAGCCACTTCCATGCTTCACAGTGGGGTTGATATTCTTGTCACTATAGGTCTGGTTTACCCCTCTCCAAACAGCACTTATGGTTGTGACCATAAAGTTTTATTATGGTCTCGTCCCTCTAGATTACAGTGTGCCAGAAGCTGTGAAGTGTGTCAAGGTGTTGTCAGGCATATTGTAACTGGGCTATTTTGTGGCATTGGTGCAGTAAAGGCTTCTTTCTAGCTACTCGACCATGCTGCTCATTTTGTTCAAGTAACATTATTGTACTCCTTGAAACAACCACACTGTCTTTATCCAGAGCAGCCTGTATTTCCCCTGAGGTTACCAGTGGGTTTTTCTTTGTATCCCAAACAATTCTGGCAGTTATGCAATATTTCTAGGTCTACTGGACCTTGGCTTAATATGAAGAGATCCCCAAATGTTCTACTTCTTAATAAACGATTGAACAATACTGACTGGCACATTCAAGGATTTGGATATCTTTTATATCCTTTTCCATCTTTATAAAGTTCCCCTACCTTGATACGCACGTCTTTTGACAGTTCTTTTCTGCTCCCTATGGCTCAGTATCTAGCCTGCTCACTGCATTCACGTGAGAGCTAGTGAACTCATTGTCTATTTATACACAGAAACTAATTGCAATTTAAAAAGCCACAGATGTGGGAAATTAAACTTTAATTGCATTTTAAACTATGCGTCTCATCTTGTGTGTCTGTTCCAAGGCCAAACATTCCAGGTTATGTAAACGTTTGATCAGAGCCATTTGGGTGATTTCTGTTATTAAGATTTAAATAGAAGTCAAACAAATATGTGCTAATAAATGGCTTCATATGACCACTGTCCTTAAATAAAAGACAGTTTTTTGGCATGATCAGTGATATTTTTTTTTAGTGTAATCTTCATTTAGGGTAGAAATAGTACAAATTTAGGTAGACGTCTCATTCAGTGTGTACAGAAAGAGTCATAACCAGCAAGGCAAGCTCAAGTCTTCCAATGCTGCTGACATTCAAGCACAGAGTATACACGTCTACGTCACAGGACTAGCAGCATAATAGGCTGACCTGAGACAAATGATACAAAACAAACAAAAACATCCAGGATAGTTAGTGTTAAGTCACGTCCCAATTCGAATGATCAGTCATATTTTCAATATCAATGTCAAAATGTAATGTGTTCTGCCAGGGTATGCAAGCTTTTAAGCACAACTGTATCCCAGCATTTCTGTTCACATCTTAAACACCTTAATCTGTTTGCCATGGAATGTGTAGAGCAGGAGGATAGGAAGTTTTAAAAATTTATGATCAACTTTTTCTAGTTATAAAATCCCATTGTTGGTGTCAAAAGGGCTACATGGGTGTTAGTTCCTTAATTTAAGTAGCTAAATATGTAAATTGTTACCAATTGTTGGGTAGATATATTAATAGGCCAAAATTTGTGAAAGCCAGATGATGTCAAAGACCCTCCACCCCTGTCAAGGGATAGTTGTTCCATTGTCGAAGATAGCCTTTATCATGTCTCTTGTGAATCAGCCAGAAGGTTTACATTTTAATAATAAACATAATAGTTACTGTTTATCAATCAAACTCCCAATACAAACTTCTGGAAAAATATGTGATCTCTTCAATTCATCCATTGAGGATCAGAACCTTTGAGAATTGTCTTGACATGATGTTATAAAAGAATTCAGCAAGGTTGTTTCTGTGTTTAAGAAATTGCGTTCTGTTGTATAGAAGAACAGAACACTGACATTGAATTGAATTGAATAGAGTTATTTAAACAAATGACTAGCTCACTTTTAATCATTTCATCACAAAATGAACAAAGCTTGTTTTTCAATATTTGGAAGCTACAATGTTAATGCCAATAAGCAGTTATATTAAAAATGTCCTGTTCTGCCTTTAGAGGTTTATATATGAAGACCTCTTACCACAGAGGTTATTCTTTGACAGAATACAAATAGTTTCTTGTTTTTTTTTTACAGGAAGATCAACTGGATGCAGCCAGGCTGGTTCGGCATTTCCATTATACCGTGTGGCCTGATCATGGAGTCCCTGAAACCACCCAGTCTTTGATTCAGTTTGTGAGGACTGTAAGAGATTACATAAACAGAACCCCAGGAACAGGTCCTACAGTGGTACATTGCAGGTATGGCTAAAACTATGGCTAAAACTATTTCACTTCTAGCACTTGTACCATAGGTACATTTGTAGAAATACACTAAAAGTCAATACTGCTCACGTAATGGTAAATGCTCTACAGTCCTTACAGAGCAAACAGTCCATGCTGGCAATTTTTAGGAAAAAATGCAGCTTCTTGACAATTAAAAGTCAATCTCAAGCACAACTGAGAGCACAAAGGGGACAAAATATGAAGCATTCAGTTTGAAACAGCGACTATAATAGTCACATATTCTAAATTTTTAACAGGCGTAACATGGATACCTCCATATCTCCTGCACTAGAGAATAGTTGGAATGCAGTACTATAAGAGGGGAACTAACACAGTTTCAAACAGCTGGAGATGGCCAGGAGTAACCTAAATAAACCATTCAAGGATCTTCTTTTTTGATATAGCAGAAAAGGCCCTAGAAGCCCTGTCTGCTTACTTTTTCGCTGACTGTATCCTATTTGGGAGTTTTGCTTCATTTCCTGTCCTAGAGATGCAATGGGGGGAATAATAGGCGATTAGAAAGGGGATTTTTCTTTCATACAGTTGTCAACTGGTGTTAGAACTGGTGTCACCACTGTAAGACTCACAATCAACTTTTGTTCTTGTGGCAGCTCTAAGATTTGGAATTTCTTGTCACTCGATGATGATGGTCACCAGGACAAATAGAGGGACAAAATTATCCAGTCTTTGAATCAGCTTGTGAATCAGGGGGAACAAAGACAGCTTTAAAAACTTGATGTTACAACCGTCCCCCACTCTATTTAAAACTAAATTAAAAAGTGTTGACTATACATACACTAAGAATTAGAACTGTTTGTCTCGCTTTCCCTAAAATGGAACCTCCAAGTCCTTTTGTTGTACTTTTGGGGAATTAATGTTCTTACAATCTTTTATAAATAATTATACTAAGCACATCTGTACAAGGAAACCACAGTAGAACTTAATTAACCACTACAATTATATAAATATTAATGCTCCAGTGGGCTTAGGGACACAAGGTACATACAAAATCTTGTAATAGCGAATTTCAAATGCTAGTGCTGGTTTTCAGTTCTTTTCTTCTTACCCTAAAAACATGTGTATTTAAACACTTTTGTATGTGATTTCTTCTTCTAAGAAGAGAAAATTCAAACTGTGTCAATTACTGGAGGTGGCACGCAGCCATATAAGTTTATCTGTGTCTGCTTAGGGGTGTCTTGGACAACATGCATCATCACTGACACCTGTCATTAAGGTTAGGTACTGCTATATCAATGAAAAATACAAGGACTTACAGATCTGACAATAAGGCCTCAAGAGAAATATCTAGCAGCTTGCTCAGCCACCTTGATGAAATTTCATAAACTTCTGTTTATTCCAATTAGAAATAAAACTCAATAATGATTACAATGCTGTAGTCAGGAAGGAATTACCAGAGACAGCAAATGTATTTATTGCCATAATTGGTGAGCAATTGAAGGAAAACTTATATGTTTTGTAGTAATTGTTTTTTGAATATTTGCAAGTTTATAAACTGATCTTTTTAATTCCCTGCATACATTACATACATGAGCCAAATATAGGGCTGATTTATTTTCGTAGCTTCATTCATAACCCACACACACACACACTGCTCTAGCATTGTGTCAGAATAAAAACTTTAATTATTTTTTAATTGTGCATCTCTTTTTAAATGAAAATGTATCTCATCTTGATGACATTCTTAATCTCACCATACAAGTAACTGTCTGGATGTGTAATCTTCTTCACGATCAAATTTAAAATTGAATAAAACTGTGCGATATGAGGACAAACCTAAACGATCAATTTGTATAGAATCAGGCAGACCCTTGCACTATATAATTGTTGGAGAGGCTAAAGGAGATTGTACAATCCATTTGTAATGTGTGTGGTGAGCTTTATCTCTGGTAATCGTTCTGTTACAGACCTGTGCAAATCTATCTTCCACCCAGGATTACAGGTATAGGGGTTGCAACTCTATGAAAAAAAAACCTGTTGTATAGACTTTGCAAATTGTCCCTAATTTGCGTAATACATTACCCACAATTTGTTTCCTTAAAGTGGAACTTTACAGCGGTAGTAAAAATCCCTTTTGCAACTTTTACCTACAAGTAAGCTTATAATAAAGTTTACCTGTAGGAAAAATTTATATCTCCTAAGTATGCACTGCTTCCCGTGCACATGCACAGTTGTGACATCATCACGTTTCAGCCAATCAAATGGCCAGAGCCCTAGACCTGGAAGAAGATGGAATCTGCTGCAGGGATCCAGTGTATGCAGTGCATACTAGCACATTATGGCTTTAAATTGCAAGGGGTCCTTTTTTTTTTTGATAACTTTACTACCACTTTAATGAAAAAGTAAAAAATTGTGGACAGGCAGGATTTTTAATACAAAAAAGACATACCATGTCTCATCTGCATTAACATTCCCTTCCCTGCCAGTCTGCACTGTACAATGAGATGTCCATGTGCAGCTCAGTGTAAAATGTCAGCAATAACAAGTGACCAAACTCCTGCGCATGCTCGGGAATGACATCATCTCAGGCCTGCCATTTAAAATAACCTGGGATCGATACCTAGAAGCAGTTGGGCTGAAGATATCAGCAGCTGTGGGGACTGCTAGGTCATAACAACACTGGAGAACAGGTGAGTATAGGCCTGCTTTAACATACTATGCACTGTATTGTAGTGTAAAGTGACAAATAAAACCAAAATATCATAGAATCTACAATTACATATCCTGATAATTACATTGAAGGTCTTATGTTCACTGATTTTTTTTTGCAGTGCTGGTGTTGGCAGAACAGGGACCTTCATTGCTCTGGACAGGATTCTTCAGCAAATTGATACAAAAGACTCAGTGGACATTTATGGGGCAGTGTATGATCTCCGGCTTCATCGTGTTCACATGGTCCAGACTGAGGTAAGCCTGGCAAAGCACAGCATTCACATTCAAGGTATATATTATGAAGTATCTATGCATAGGACCTAGTGGGTTAAATTGGTTGAAAGAAAAAAAATGAAATAATACAATAGTATATTGTAATCAGAGGCATGAATTCAACCTACAGTGTTCTGAGCATGTTTATTGTATTTAAACAGCTAGTTAAGTTAAAATGACACTAAACTACGGTAAAAAAAATCTTTCATGAGTGTACATATTCCTAACTAAAAATAAAATGATCTTGCTCTCAGCCTCCTCCAAATCTTTAAATTAATTTTTTTCCTTTTTTTTTTTTTCTGCTGTGATCTGACTTCCTGTTAGAAGGTGGCTACGTTTGTTCTCCATCGCCCCATTGTACTATTTAGGAGTATAGCCACTATCTCTTGCTCTCTACTGAGGTTGGCTAGGGACTTTGGGATTTGTAGAGAACATAGAGAAGTGCACATGACTGCAGCTAACATGTACTGCGTGTTCCAAACAAATGAAAGTGAGGAAGAAAAAGAGGGTCTTGGGAGCTCACGGAGGGCATTACAAGGAGCCAGAAAAATACAGTAAGAAACTAATTCATTAAAATAGGTTACAGGGCCATTAAGTAGTGAATGTGTGTATGGATTATTTTGATGGAATAAGGATATTAGGGTCACTTTAAAATGCTACATCTATAATAACTATCATTGCCATCCCTAAAGAACAATGAAATCATTGCTTTAAACACAAATGGCATTCCAGCCTGAACCATTTAGACTACATGTAATTCATGGATAGCTTACTAAGAAAATGATTATAATGCTTTACACTCTTCCCCATACTAGCATTTCATTAAAGGAGGGTAACCCAAATTATTTTTTATAAAAGACTGACTGGAATTCAGCTACTGCATAACGAAGAACTTATTTGCTGACCATGTCTCTAATGGAGATATACTCCTAGGTTCTCATCCTGGCAACCTCAATGGAGGTAAGGAAAAATATCCCCAATGGGGTAGCAGACGTCAATAAAAAACTATTGATAATCTGCATTGAGCGCAATACGGGAAATCGTGAACCCATTAATCATTTTGGCTGATGACCATTGATATAGGACTCTTATTATATTCTTTACTTATGGACTCTATTCAGGGTGCAAGTCCTGTGGTCCTCTGGATGACAAGCAAGGTCTAACCCAAGGGCGGACTGACAACTCATGGGGCCCCCGGGCAATAGGGGATCATGAGGCCCCTGTGTCCTTGCCCAAACTCAAAAAAACCTATGGAAAAAAGGTACCATGGGCATCTCATGGGGCCCCCTACTGACCCCGGGCCCTCGGGCAGTGCTCGAGTTTCCAAATGGTCAGTCCGCCCCTGGGCTAACCAGAGCCAGTGACCTTAACAGCGAATAATCCAGCACCTTACAGCCACATCTTTTAATCAATAGAAATCTGACAGAGCTTCTAACCCTTCATCAGTCAACACCTCCAGAATGCTACCCACATGGAAGAAAAATATATTTGAAATATATTTTTTAAATATTCTTCCCAAATATATTGACATATATTTGAAATGCTACAATTTTGACCATATTCAATATATTTCAAAATACATTTATATATACTGCATGCTGAAATGCTTTTTTTATATATTTCAATATATATGAAAAATATTTTTAAAAATATATTTTTTTTAAATATATTCTTCAGATTTTTTTTAACATATAAAAAAGTAACATATATTTTTACATATATTTGTAAATGTATTCCAAAAATGTACATTTGTATTTTTAAAGACATACATTATATTTGAAATGTATTTTTAAAAATATTTTTCATATATTTTGTAATAAAGCATTTCAACATGCAGTATATATATATATATATATGTTGAAATATATTTTGAAATTTATTTACTATGGCCTAAATTGTAGCATTTCAAATAAATGTCAATACATTTGGGAAGAATATTTTTAAAATATATTTCAAATATATTTTTTCTTCCATATGGGTAGGCTGTTCTATCAATTACATAAATAAGGTACCATCTACTACCAGCATACACCGCATCCCTAT